TCTCAACTAAATGCCTATGGGAAATTGCAAGAGGTGTAGAAACACTGGAGCCAGCAATCTTCAATAGCTTTACCTGCCATTAATTTTCTCTCATCCCCTTTTGCACTCGTCCAGTTTGGCAGCTATCGCTACCTCTTGCAGTAGCAAATTCCATATTTTAAACTATGTGCTATGTGAAGAATTATTGGCCGTTGCTCTTCTGGCTCTTAAAGGGTGCATATCCACACACATTATTCCACAGCCTAAGGTTGGCACATTTCATTTGTCTGATGGTCCAAGGACTCCTGTTCTACCCAGTGTTCATGTTTCTGAAAGTTATCTGGGGTAAAGTTATCTGGGGAAAACCTACAGGTCTTGCTTGTTACACTGGTACATTAAACCATTAGGGCACCAGAGATGCTGTTTTATCAGACTTGAAATTCCTTCTAGCGGTAGGGCACCAGACCATGCAGGGAGGATTCAAGCGAGAGACTGCACACGTTATAACCGCTCTTCCTCTCTATGTAATACTGTTGTAAGAGCAACCTTGAACAAATAGCAGCAGCCAATCAGGCTGATTATGTCCTGGCACTTGGTGTGTTCTGAAAGCCAGAAAAAAAGTTGGATAAATAAACAAGCATCTGCTTTGGATGGGCCGTCATCCAGATACGGACTCTGGATAAGTTCTTCGACCCAGGAGGAAAGCATTGCATGAGCCAATATAAAAAATCAAACCCTTGCGCAGGTGTGTGTAACTAAAGCTGCAGACCTAGAATACAAACTAGACTAGAAGCAGCCGCCGCCGCCCTGTAGTTGCAGCCCAAATCACTGGGGCTGGCAGAGTCTTCACACTAAAAACAATTCAGCACATTGATGGACATAGGCTGAAATTAATGGATGCCAGCATGCCTCAGAACTGGACATTACTTCCCAGTACTGTAATTGTATTTGTCGATTGATCAGTCGAAGGCGCGGATGACCTGACAGCGAACAACAGCCCTTTCAGAAGTTCACATTAAAGCAATTATTTGGCAAGCAACCTCTATGTTTAGTCTCCCAGCTTAGCTGAGCAGAAATCCAGGCATTCCATTTTTCTTGTAAATTGGATTCTAGTCTGAAAAGCAATGGTTTAAGAGTGATAATCTCTGCAGGGCTCAGGAAGGAAAACAGCGATGTTCATTACTAATGTTGTTACTCTCTAGTCTGAAAAGCAATGGTTTAAGAGTGCTAATCTCTGCAGGGCTCAGGAAACAAAAACAGTGATGTTCATTACTAATGTTGTTACTCCTATTCGATGCTGTATCGCCGCTGTTTCTCTGCATATTCAGGCATTCTCTATAGCAATACCTGGATTATGGCACATCTTTCCCAAGGGAAGCTGGCCTGGTTGCATCTCGCTTGCTGCTCTGGCAGGCACTTACAACTGTGTTGTTCTAAAAGCTTCTAAGAGTTTTCAAAATGGTCTTTTAGACTAGAACATTTGAAATCTGCTTCCAAACAACAATCTTTTCAGCCTGCTTTCTGAAATGTTTTTAGTCTGGTTTTAATCTGTCTGTTCTCCCTTGCTTCCCAGTCTCCAGGATGCAAAAAACCAATAAATCAATACTTTAGATAAACAAAGATAAACTCCAAATCCTCTGAAATGCACTGGAGTTCAAAGAAAGCAAAAAACCAGGAAGAGGATGACTCTTTTTCATATCTGAACCTCAGTGCAAACCTGGCCAAGCTTTCGTTGGTTCCCTATTCAGATGGCAGCACGCGTCTCCTGCATGTTCGGATATTCTCCTAGCGAAAATATTGCTTCTTCTTCAGACCACAGGTGTTCTGTCACAACACCTGTGGAAGAGATGTCGCCCTTTGCAGTGACATTTGGGTGAGAAAAGGAATATCGGAAGAGTCTCCTGTTTGTTCTTTTTTCCGAACTGCAGTTCAGGCAAGAAGCTGTTGGGCCACTTTCTTGCCAGGAGATTGGCATGATTGGCAAAGGGAACAACTGATTTACAGATCGGTTGCATTACAATTTCCCAGTGAACTAAGACCCCAAGAGTTGGTCAAGAGAAAACTGGACCACCCGCTGTCCCATCTGCTTGGACTGGGATCCCTGCCTTGAGCGGGAGGTTGGCCTCAACGGCCTTAGAGGCCCCTCTCAACTCCATGGGTCTTATGATTCTACCTTGGTGCACAGTTTGTTCTAAAATCAGTCAGGTGAGCCTCCCGCACTACCAGAAGCCTGGGTCAGGTGAGAGCATCTGTTTATCAGTACATCCATTTGGTGCTTGGATCTGACGAAGTTGGCAGACTCGTTGAAGGGTGATGGCGGCAGGTGTCCCACAGAAGGAAAAAGCCCACAGAAGGGCTTTCTACAGAGTGCAATTTTCATAACACACTCTGGTGAGCCACTTTGGTGGTGTCTGCTAGTACAAAAATTAAAAACAACAACCAACAACAACAACTAGTAAATAGCAGTTGACCTTTACAGGAGCTGCAGTGCTAAAGAAAAGACTCTATGTATAGCCTTAATCAATAGCAATCATTACAAACATTCTAGTCGTCTTTGACAGAGCAAGCATTTGCTGGGAAAAGACACTGTGGAAAGGTGGGTTTTCATACTGAAAATATATTTAATATTGAACCCAGCACTATACCTTACACTGAAGAATATCTATCCTAAATGAATACTGACAAATGTATTTTGTTATGACTTCAGTTAAATCATAAAGCCAAGCATATTTTGCCAAGATATTTTCATATTTGTAGGAGATTCACTTGCAAAACATTGGCTTAGGGGAAAAAATGTAATGAACTCTCTGCTTGGTAAGCAATTTTGTGAATCTCCAGGGAACAAAACGTCTTTTCCCTCCGACGGTTAGCCATTTCATCACAGCACATTCTGTTTTCTTAAACTTTGTACTATATATGCTAAACTGGCTTCCTTTGTTATAAACTGACTTATGTGCCAGCAATAATATACAGTTTGTGGGAAAGCTATATGGCTGAAATCCAGTAATAAGTCACAACTAGTGCAGGCCCATTGAATCAATGGGGATTTGGTGAGCTGCCTCTGTTTCTCTTTTTTCTCTTATTTACAGTCTGCCTTTCTCCCAATAAGGTGATGCAAGGTGGCTCACAGTACTAAAAATAATGTCATTAAAAATGTAAGTTACGCATTAAAAAATTACACCATAAAACTCATTAAAATATATTGAATAATTAAAACCATGTAAAATGTTTTTTTTTTAAAAGCCATCAAGTTCCACTGATTCCATGTGGCTACTCCAGTTGTGATTTATTACTGGATTTCAACCTATGTGTCCCTGTAAAGCTCAGAGTTGGGAAGCTAGAACTCTATTACACAAACTTACTTTGTCCCATAAAATTAAATGGAAGCCACAGAGCACCAAACAAGCTTTCATGTGAGCCAGTGCTCCTACTTACAGGATGTAGAGTCCTTGGGACAGGTAACATGAGTAGAATGAAATCTATCATACATTAGTGTGGGGTTTTGTGTAAGGAAGGGGGGGGGAAGTACCCTTGAAAACTTCAATTTTGGACATGCCCTAACTGACCACAACAAACACCACTGGTGTTCCCTTCATCTTTACCAAAGGAGACATGCCCACACTTTCACAGTCTTGGAACTGCAAAAACTTTTAAAACATTTTTCATGTCAAAATAGACAGAGGCTTCTATCTCACTGCACTGTGAAACAGAGAACAGAGGACAGCAATGTCTTCCTTATCCCTCCCACACTAAATTGTCACTCCATGAAACCAGTATGAAGCCATCTAACTGGATGGGAGCACTGAATTCTGTTACAGTATCCTGGCAATCCACCACGGAGCCTCGTTTGTGCTGGCAAATCATAACCACGGCAGAACACAGCCACAACATCTCCCCGGGGACCTTTCTGCTCAATCCAGGTAGCCTAGGAGGGAGGCCACCAGCCCAGCCCAACGCCAGCCCTTTCAACCTAAGCGTGTTGAACGCATGCGTAGGGCTATTGACTTCTGAAGTCACGCATCCAGAATCTCCAAACGCTGTTAACATCCATGTGTGCACCTGCAGCAAAGAAACCGCAGGTCATCTTTTCCTGCTGGTTCCACTCAACAGGAGGAGTTGAGTGTGCGGAAGGAGGGTGTTTTCGTTCTTGTTCGTTTCATGACGATGGAATTTGCAAAATAAGACCAGCATTAACCATTTGGATTCTTATTTTGGTCATGTCCCTGTGATTTGATCTTACCTTTCAGACTTTAGAAGACTATGGTAGAATATCTACAGAAATCTGGAAGGACTAGTAAGGATGCTTTTAGGACCTGGGAAGAGGGTGAAGCAACCGTAGAATCAAGACCATATGCAAAAAAAAAAAAAAGTCATGGAGGTTGAGAATCTGGGCCACTCTAAGAACACTGACATCTTACCTCAGAATCAGGGATAGAACATCAAAAATAACTTTTTACACAGCGGTTCATGCTGCTATTAAAACAGCAAATCACAACATGTTTCTAATAAATGTGAAGGAAGACTATTCTACAATTATTATGTCAACATACATAATACTCCAACAGCAATCATTATTTGGTTCTCAACATGTTTTGAACAAAACATAGGCATAGACTATGCTAATTTTCCATTATGGTGAGACTGTTTTTATCTTTGCCAATATCTGGGACAAAGGTAAGTCAATAATTATGTTGCGTTTCAATGCCAAATGATTATTTTCTGCTGCATTTGCAAAGATTTATAAGCGTACAAGTTATTTTTCTTTTGTTATTTGTAAATTCACTCTTTCCCTTGATCCCACCCCCATGTGAACTGTGAAGGATGGGTTTTGTAGCTTGTGTTATTCAGTTTGACTCGGAATATAATTGTTAAGATTTTCAAAGATCTCACTGGAGGTGGTGTGGATGAAGTGTGCAAAAACATCAGTGATCCTGCAGATATGTTGAACACAAGTTGCCCTGCCTAGAGCAGACTTGAATGTTGTTGGTGTTGATTCAGGGCAAGAACAGGAAGCCACAAAGTGAACTAAAAAAAGAACTGTTTTATTGTGACGTTTGACACTGAACCCTTCTTGATGTGAATCATGTAGGTGATTTTGACATGTGTTACATTGTCATGGCGTTATCGGTGGATGGCACAGCATCATGCAACTTCTGATAATGTTTATTGATCCCCACTGACCTCAGTGCATTTTTGATTGTCACAGAAATTTCATCACCAAATTTGTGTATACAGTTGAGTAGTTGGTCGTATAAGCACCATTATAAACCCTCACCATTTAAGGGTGTTTTAAATCTAGTTTACAAATGCTTCATGGATAAAAATAGTTTGGTTACAGTATACACACACTTAATTTACATGTATTGTATTATAGGTATAACTGAGATAAACTATTGAGCTAAACTTTGGTTGATTGCTGTATTTAGAACTGAGTAATTGCACTTTCTTTGGCTTCTAAATCGTGTATATATTACAGTGCATTTATAAAATCTAGGATGGACATTTTTCTAGCACCAAATGGATATCGCAAATGGCTGACCTAGTAAGATGTAGCTGGAGAAGCAGGTTTTAAGATCCTTTTTTAAAAAAAAGAGAGAGAGAGAGAGAGAATCCGCAGATGGAAGTTGCATTCTTGCATCACTGCTGGGAGAGTTTTTGCTCCGGCACCTGTGGACAAACTTCCGACAGCAGTCCCAGTCTTCAAGATTCAGCATATCGAGATCGCTACACTTACCAGAAGCGCCTGGGAAAGTAGTTGCTGTGAACGTACAGCTTCCTTCTTGTACCTTGCTTTAGGTCAAAACAGCGTTGTGCTCACACGTTCCAATGTATTCGTGAAGGGCTGTACCTGTGGGGTATGGAGCAATCTTACTGGGAAAAGGAAACATTCAAGTCTCGGCTTTAGCTATCTTTGGCTCTATTGGATTTATTTGGTCTCTGGATGGTGAATTAATGAAGCAAAATTTCAATTCTCATTTTCAGGCTGTCTCCTAGCTCACCACTGAGGTAGTCTTTGTCATGTTTGTCTTCAAGGTGGTTGAGTTCCTTCTTTTTATAGAGTGGGATACTACTGATCTGTAACGAATAGGTTCCCGGCATGGGCCTCTTCTTCGTTAAGTGGAGGAAGCTGATTCCATCTTTCTGGTTTATCCTAAAGAAACCACCTTCATTCCCGTGGTCTATTAAATATCGGTTGTGATTTGTCAGTGTTGTGAGAGCAGGGATCAGTTTCAAGATGCGATCTTTATTATTAAGTTCAGAGATGTTGAAAGAAAGGATAGCTGGTTTTTCAGCATCCCAGCTCTCGAGGTTAACAGCTGCCTCCATCTCGGGCTGATCCTGTAAAAAAACAGATGCTTTAAACGTTCCCTTCTTGATTTTTTTTAAAAAGAAGTGTGGGCATGCATAATAATCATCCTCCAGCAACCAAGCAATTGGTAGGATACAGAGGCACGTACATGTGGGGTGGAGAGTTTGGAGATTGGCTAGACAACATGCTGCTGGAGTATTTTGTGAAGACTGTACATATGTAATATAAGCTTTAAGGAAGAAGCTGTTCTCGTGTTTTTTCTTCTCTGCGAGGACCTTGGAGGCTGGTTGTAATCCTGCTTTGCTCAGCGCACCCCAAAAGAAATACTTGACATACTCTTTGGGTTTGGCCTGTCAACCAGCCACAACTGCATCTAACAATTGCATCGTCTAGTCCACCTACGACCAGCTTGTCCACAAGAATATCACAGGGGGCCTTCTCGAAAGTCCTGCTGAAATCAAGATGCACTATGCCTACAGCATTCCCCCCATCTATTGAGCTTGTGCCACTACCCAGAAAAGAGACAAGATTATTCTGGTATGACTTGTTTTTTAGAAACCCACACTGGGTCTTAGAAATCACAGTGTTCTTTTCTAAGAACACCGCTTAGACTGACTTGTTTTATGACATGTTCTACCACTTCTGTTTGAACACGGAAGTTAACAGCTATTCACCTCTAATCCTCAAGCACCTCACCCGTTCTCCAAGAATCCTCAAAGACTGTAGGACAGAGGCTCTACAATTGCACCCTCCAAGGTCTTTTTGTACTCTTGGATGCAGTTCACATGACCATGGTGACCTGAATTGTTTTAAAGAAGTTAAATGTTCTTTTCGCGATGCTTTTCTCTATCCTGGGCAGCAGCCCTCTCACTCACTCCTTCACGCCACTTGCGCCTGCCTGTGGGCTGTTTCAGGAGAAAGTGGAAGCCAAGCAGGGTTTCAGCAGTTCTGCCTTCTCTCTGCCCACTTTCAGTAATGCTCCATCTTCCTCATGCATTGCACCTGCTCTGTCCTTGTTCTTCTTCCCTGTAGAATAGCTGAAAAACCTCTTTTTGCTATTTTTAATCTCTTTTGTTAGTTAGTCTGAGCTCATTTGAACTTTGTGGTCCACACACACTGGCTACTCCTTTGCTCCCTTCCTTGGTGAGTTGCCTCCCCTTCCATTTCTTCTATATTTCTCTTTTAAGACATACAGTAGTTCTTCAGAAAGACCATTACGCAGCCGATCCTTCCCCTTTCCTTTCTCAGAATCTCGCCTTTAAGAAATTTCCATCAGCCATGGACTCCCTTCTCTCGGAGTATTTCTGACCATGGGATCTCATCCTGTGTTCCCTCAGGCTGCTTCTGATCAGCTTTCCTAAAGCTCAGAGAGCACATTATACCATTCTTAGCCTTCTCTTTTCTCAGAATAACTCAAATCCTGGAATTAACTTCCACCCAAAGTTCCCACTGTTTCCTCCTCGTTGACCGGTTCTTCCCTTTTAGTTCAGACCAATTCCAAGACAGCTGATCCTTTTGTCACTTCTTCCACCTTCCAAAAAATGAAGCTGTTAGCAAAGCAAGGGAGGGATTGGGGGGAGGGGGAAGCTTGCAGTCCTGGCTGAGTCAGTATCCCCAACAGATATTTGGGTAGACGCAGCCCAACTGCACATACTTTTACCAAAAGCACTGGTTCTTGAAAACAATGACCATAACACACAACTTCGGAAGTGCTGTCCTGCATGCAAATTTTATAGGAGGACCGTTCTCACTGCAAAGCGGGTGGGCGCTCCAAACCTCAGCGCCGACATGACACCGGAAATGAGGGTGTCAGTGAAAACCTACGAAAGCCGACTCCTCTGAACCATCGGCAATGACTTCAGAAGAACCCCGCGGATAAAGGGCACGGCATGCGAGCCCCCTTTTCCTCTCTCTTCCGAGAGCCACGGCTGAAAGAGGCATTGATTTCATGTGACATGTGTTTTTGCACACCGCAGCAAAAATAATCCACCGCTTTGGATTTGTGCCGATGGGCTCCTGCCTCCACGTGATCACACAGCAGTAAACCTCTGACTCGGCACCTGGACAAACATAAAAACCTGTGCCATCTATACTATGTCTTATCGAGGTCAGATGGACCCGTTGTTTGATTCATTGTAAGGCACTCTCAACAATATCTGTAGTAATATTAAGGCATTTAATTTGCTCCGTTAACTTAGAAATCCCTGCCGTAGGGCAGAGCTCAATGTGAGCCAAAGACCAGAAATGGGCAGCTCTCTCTCTCTCTCGGGTTTCCCCTTTTTCCTATAACTCCACCCAAGGCCAGTCAGAAAAGCCGAGCAAGAGAAAAGGTCCCAATAGAGGAATTTCACAAGGAGGTGCCATTTACCATTTACAAGTCAAAGCAGTCTATCATGAACTTGCCTCAGAAAGCACGTATTGGGACTCCCGTTCAAAGGGAGTCACACTCAAAAGACATAGGAGTCACCTCGATTTTAAGCAATGGCGTCGGCCCACAGGAATCCGCGTCAGGAAGGTAGGTAAGCCAAGGACCCGGCTCGCAAAGGCTCTTGGGAAGCTAACGAAGCCTCACCACCCCAAGACAAGGAAGCTTAACGAGGACATTACCTCTGTGTCGAGTGCCTCTGTTTCATTGGTGCTTCGCCGTTTCCTGCCCCTCTTAGGATAGCCGTTGATTTTACAGTCATAGCAAGCTTCTGGAGATAACGAGTTGTCATCAACTTCACCGCTGACTGAGAGGTCCTGTCCGTGGCCTTTGCCCAGACCCATCCCGGAAACGCAATGTCTACGAAATCAGAAGGACGGGAGAAAGTCAACCCCAGCGCTCTTTGTACCATCGTCTGCAGTAGTACCAAGACATTTAAATCTCTTCCATTAAAATTCCTGAAGGAAACGAGCAGCTAGGCTTGCCTCTACGTTGATGTGGTCTGGGCTGTTTTGTACCCTTTGTACACAAAGGGTACAACGTTTACATAAAAAGTGAAATCTAAACTGCTTTCAGATGCGTTGGCTAAGCAAACACAACAAGAGGCAATGATCTGAATGCGAGCCATCTGGACTGTCCACAAGACTGGATTCAGGCCCAGTTTCTCTTACCCTTGTCCTATTCGGAAGTACCCCGGCGGGCAGCCGCAGACGTAACCGCCTTCCGTGTTCGAGCACCCATAACTGCACGGAGCTTGTGAAGAGCCACACTCGTTGACGTCTTGGCACGCTCCCGTGAACTGCTCAAAATGATACCCGGCCGGACACATGCACTTGTAACTGCCCAGAGTGTTGTGGCAAGACGCTCCACCGCAGACATGGGCGCTGAGGCATTCGTTCTCATCTGGGAAAAGAAGCCAAGGGAATTGATTACACGCCCATTCTCTGAGCATCTTAGGAAAGCCAGCCACCGGCACAAGCTCTGTCGGACCCAAGCAAGCCATCACCGCAGGTGGCAGGGGGCGGGGCGGGGGGGAGAGGGTGCTGGTCAAAAGAAGAGGGAGGCAAACATCCCATGGGAACTCATAAGGGTCTTCTGAACTAAAGGATTATGGGTCCCCCACCAAATTTGAAGCTATGGGCCTTCTGTCACTCAAGCCTAGATCAATTTGTTGTTCTTATGGTTTGCCTGAGTCTAGGGGCGCGCATGAATATTCACAATCATTTCGACACAACTGAACGTGCTTTCACTCAACAGGCAATTAGATTGTTTTGACAGCCAAACTTCTGAAAATTATTCTTTATAATAGGAAAGCAAAAAAAGAATTGAGTTAATAAATGACCAAATTAATTGACTAATGCACATCGTGATTTGCAAAACATGATTCATTACTCATTTTTCATGCAATATGGCTAATTACAGATTTGCCTTAAGTGAGTGCTCACAAGACAATTTTGACTGAGTTAGAGAAAATACTGCATTGGCGCTATTCGTTTAGGACGCCTTACTCAGAACAGACCACCCATTTTTACAAAAGTCTTAATCTGTTGACTGTATTTGCAAAATATCTGAGGCTGCAGTGTATCTGAGACGGACACAGGATGCAACACCGGCAGGTTCGCCAAAGCATTTGTGGCAGAACTGATGCACAAGATGCTGCTCAGCTCTCCGCTCTGCTTTGTTAGAAACCTGTTTTTCTAAGTTGTCTTCTATCCCTATTCTGGGATGATGTCAGGAGGTTTCAAGGAGATGAAAGTAATTTAATAAGAAGGGGCAGGAGCGTAGCATTATGACCCTCCCGTTGCTGTGAAGCTGAAAGGTGGCAGCCTGCCTACGGCCACTTCATGCGCTTGCAGCAGAGGTGAGTGAGATCTGAACCAGGGAGGGAGGGCTCGTCCGGTCTCTCCTCTACAATGCGATGCCTCCTCAATCTAATTTAGGTTAAACGTCTCTGAAGGTGAGGGCAGTGAGCACCATCACAGCAACTAGAGAAGCTATGTTTGTATTTCTAATGTTAATGCAACCAAGGGTCAAGAAACCTTGACTGCCTCTTTTATAAAGTTAAGGAAGAAAAAAAAATAAGACAATGACCACCAGGCTTAAGCTCAGCGGGACCATGCGAGTAAGCCCAGCGCTGTCTCCAGCTGCTCCCATCCTCTGCTGCTCATTGAGTGTCCAGCTGGAGGCCCCCCCCCCGAATCTGCACCACTGCCTTTGCTAGCCTGGCAACACCCTCCGGGACAACTTGGGCTTCACTTGTAAGGAAGGGCGTATTGGGGCTCCCCCCAACCCCGTTCCTAACAATTATGGAACCACAACAGCTTTAAGGAAGGGCAAATCAACGTTTTCGAAAATTTAAATCAGATGTCTCCCTCCTTCATCCCATCTTTCCAAAAAGCAAGAAACATTTTTGAGCAACTGTCAGAGCCGAAACATCTACATTCCCAGTGGAGGATTGTGTAAAAATGTCAGGAAGTTTTCTTAAGCATAATTAAAACCAGAGACCTCCCTTAGAGCAGCACCATGATAACAAGGAAAGGCATTTTTATAGGCCTTGGAAGGTAAACCATGCCAAACGCAGGGGTTCCTTCTCTTGGTTTCGGTCACGGCCCATCTCTCCATGGAATGGACGCCAGCTCAAATGGACTCGTTCATTTAGATACCAGGAAAAAAACCCTCACTGAGTTTTTGTTTTTTGTGGGGGGAGGGAAATGGGTGATGGGACATGCAGGCTGCATTGCACATATGTAGTTTCCCATAACTATGGAGAGTAATCCTTCCTGCCCTACACTTGAAGTGATTAGTAAGTTTCTCCGTGAGTAACTTTATTGGCAAAGCTGCAAAGGCACAGATCACCACTAAAGACTGGCCAAAGAACAAACCCACTTTGCATTTCAACAGATTAATTTATTTGTTGCTGAAAGAAAGAAAAAAAGAAAAAGAAAAAGAAAGAGAGAGAGAGAGAAAGAAAAGGGTACTTGGGACAAATGAAGGATAAGAAACAGTCGTGGGTTTGGTGTCAAGCTCCAGGAAAGCAATTTTTACCCCCGGACAGATATTAAAGTGTTGGCTGTTGACAGATCTGCTTGTATTTGTGCAATGTCACTCGTAAGTTCCACAACAATTTAGGTTGAGGCTGAGAAAATTAATATCTAAAAATCAAGAGTCATATTGACAATGGAAACTTTAAATGGAGACCCCCAGCATAATAAGCAAGCCTTTAAAATATTTCCTTGAAGTGGCAGGTCCATCAATGTTCTGATATTAAAACAGCAATGGTATGATTAAAATAAAAGGAGGACTCGTTCTGCCAGAGCCTGCTCTGTCGGGGCCTCCCGGTAAAGTGTCTTTCTCTACCTGCAGGAGGCACCTGAGCGGCTCCACGTTCACCCTACCAGACAGTTCTTTAAAGGGTTTGCAAACGAGCCCCGCACTCTGTGGCCCAGGCAGAATCGGGGAGAGGGATCCTGTCTTTCTAACTGCAGTGTTAAAATTACTTTGGCAGTGGTTTAATCCACATAAAAAGTTTCATTCCGTCAGAATGGTTTCTCCGAGGACAGAAAGAACATTGCCTGAAATCACAGCTAAAGACCGAGTGACATAAATAATTACAAGCAGAGGTTTTCCAGTTGAATCCAGGCCCTGGCTCTCAATTCTAGGTCACTGAAAGGACTTCCTCCCCGTTGTTCCCTTTTCAATGACGATACATAAGCGTTCGTCTCTGAACCGACTCGGCCGAGTTTCAGAACATAATCCACAACGCTGAAATCTTAGCGTTAAGACAGCAACAGCTTTGTCTGCACAGAGAATGAGGAAGGGCTCTTACCCACACACTGGTTCCACTGGTAATGCTGGAGATATCCTTGCGGACAGCTGCACCTGTAGCCCCCAATGATATTCTGGCAACCATGCTGGCAACGATGGTTTCCATCACACTCATCAACATCTAAGGAGGAGGAGGAGGACAAAGCACAGGTAGAAGGGTTTGTAGTATTTCTCTAGCCTGTAGGGATAATCTGTTGCATAATCAGAAACCTGTGGCCATAAGCGTGAAGCACAGCATGGGGGTTAACAACTATCTAAGTTTCTTTTGTCGTGGTTCACAATGAGCTACTGCCTTCCTCCACTGGAAACACCCTTTGCTTTGGGGCCTGTTCTTCTCACTCGCTCCTAAAGCCAGCAGGAAGGGTTTCCTTTGTGGAAGCACTTCTGTTCCACCTTAAGTGCAACAAAGCTCCACGCATCATTTGCTCACAGGGATGTCTTTGTTTCTTACAATCAGCTGTCAAGAAATAGAGCATCAAATGTTAACCTCCCTCCATGTGTCCCATGAATAGCACCTCCACTGATTTATCATGTTATGATAGCATGACCGAGGGCGACACCTCGGGACCTCTCCTAAGTTCAAAAACATGTGCAAATGCTTGGTTCGAATGAGAAAGGCCAGATTTTTGGCAACTTAACATAACAGAATGAGTTTAGCCATTCCAAGGTCAGGTCTAAAGCGGCTTCTGTGTACTGATTAATCCCCATGAGAAGTTTAGGTGCAAGAGTGACTGGAGAAAATGATTCCATAGAGCTTGTCTGCTAATGAGCTACAGTGTTTGTCCCCTAAAACTATTACTGTTCAGAACAAATTGCAGAGGACCTCCCATCACCACCATCTGAAAAACGTGATCCATTGGTGGTGGCAGAGACTGAAGCACATAGGTGGACAAACATGTCCCTCTCACGGGCAAATGGGTGTAAGGGACGGGAAACAGAAGATCAGGTTTGCGAGGTGGCACCAAGCTCAGAAGACATGAAAGGATGAGAAACAGGATGAAGGTGAGCCAACACAGAGGGAAGTCGGCCGGGCCAGGGCAGGCGGGAGCGAATGCACATTTGAATGGAATCTGTGGGTTGTGGAGGCATGGAGGAGAGAACGGCAGGACACCCAGACCCAGCGCGCATACCTTCACAGCTGGCACCCGTTTGGTCCAGGGCAAAGCCACGCTGACATTCGCAGGTGAAGCTTCCAGGTGTGTTCTGACAAATGCCCTTCGAGCCACAAAGATTGACGTCCGTGGCACATTCGTTGTTATCTAGAAGAATTACAGGTGGGGAGGGGGGTCAGTGGGTTTGCTCAGCCAGGGTCACCCACGTGGCCGCTGCCGAAGAGCCTCTGCAGCAAAAAGCTCCATGGGGACAGAGATCCCATGAAAAATGTATTTTTCCCCCCTCAAAATGATGTTTTACAAGCAAGGCCGGCTGCCAGATGTCACACGGGAGATTTTTTACACCACGCTCCAGATTGGGTAGCTGTATTCAGCCCTCTTTGGCCATGTTGGATTGGGGCCATCAGAGGATTTTCTTCTTCCCAAAGTTACTTTGAAACCCGCAGGTGCTGAACACGTGTGGGTGTGTTCAGGCATCCAGGCCATCCCTAGCAGCCTTGTTTACCTGTGTGCAGCCCAGAAACAAAGGGGCAGAATTCCTCCATCATCTTTTTACTCACCGATACAAGCTGAATGGTGCTGAGTAAACCCAGGGGGGCATTTACACGTGAAGCCTCCCATCGTGTTGACACAAATGAACTGGCAGTTGTGTTGTTTGGTGGCGCATTCGTCAAGATCTGGAAGGAAAGGAAATAACTTATTTCAGTTTTGTCTCCTCCTACAGCCAATCATCTCTACAAGGGAGCTGGAAGACAGAAATCTATCCAGGCAAGAAGTGCACCAAGGAATACTGCCTGGCTAATTTTAAGAGAAGTCCCTTTCCCTTCTTCTGGGACTCTAGAACAGAATCTATTCAGCAGGCAAATCTCTCTGCCCCTTTGACATCTCAAAAGAGAACACTGCCTTCTTTTGCAGCAGTTCAGCACCAGTAACGTTTACAAGAGCAGTCTAAAGAGGTAGCCATTCTAAGCAATATGAGCCTTGTATTGTAACAAAAAAATAAGGTGGAACCTAAGAGACTAGCCCAGGTGTTATGACACAAGCCCTTGTGGGCCACGTGAAGTCCGCTCTAGCACACAAATAGGTTAGGCCACCAGTTCTTTCAAGCATCATGAAACTATTATTTGTCAAGACAAAATATATAGATGAGCAAATCATGGCACGGATGCATGCCTTTGATTAGTTTGGATGTTTCCACACGCAAGGTTGTTTCAGCCCATATTCATCATCTGTCCTGATGCACGATCAAGTCCAGGAAGCCAACCTGATCTCTCAGGTTTACCTCAAGCACTGGCACACTTAATGAAAAGAATTTGTTCTCCATAAAGCAAAGCAAAAAGCAAAGTGTGCTACTTATATACCACCCCATAACGCTTAAAGCACGCTCTGCTCAGTTTACAATTATGCAGGCTGCACATTTACACACTGCAGTTTGACACACCAATTGGGTACTCCATTTACCGACCTCAGAAGGATGGACGGCTGAGTCAACTTTGAAGCCGCCGACCTGAATCCCACTGTGTTCAAACTCAGGCTGCAAGCATAGTCTTGACTGCAGGACTGCAGTTGGACCCCTGAACCAAGGAGGAGCTAGTAGACGCTCAACTGCCTCTTCACATGGTTGAACAGCCATGCTGGCTGGGCTGAGAATCAGTAGCCCGGCTTTCCCAAGCCGCGCTGAGGCATGGCTGTGTCAACTCATTCTCGACGAGAGGTCCAGGCCCATCTTCCAGACGTCATTGCCCTCGGGCGGCTCTTACCTTTGCAGCTCCTTCCGTCTTCTTGCAAAATGTACCCCTTGGGACACGAGCACTGGTAACTCCCTTCGGTGTTTTTGCAGATGAAATTGCAAGGCTTTGGAGACAGATTGCACTCATTCAGATCTGAAAACAAAACAGAAGGGTCATCCAAAAGGACAGAACCCTATGGAATACTGCATGCAAAAGGGACTAGTGGGGACCATCTTTGTGCAAAAAAAAAAGTCCCATTCTTTCGCGTGGACTGTTTTTTTTTCTTTTAAAAAACAACCACCACGTGACACAGGAACAGGATAGAACAAAAATTGTATGCACTCATTTCATTTCTATGTCGCCTTCCCTCCAAGACATGAATTCAAAGACACGCAGATAGTATATAAATGGGAAGCGGCAGGCGGCAATCCAGTGACTTGAAGGTTCCCCTTTTCTGACATGTACCAGCCTGGGCTCCCTGGTCATCTTCAAAGACTCCCCCCTGCAGAGTCCAGGCAGGGGATGATGGGAGGCCACGGGAGAAAAAGCCTTCTCCGTGCTGCCTTGAGTCACAGGCTATCCAAACCCCGAATGTCTTTTGCGGCAGATGCCCTGGTTTGAGGTCACCTTCTGCTTTCTGCAGTCTTTTTAGAACTTTGCACAATTCGTCAAATTGAACCAGAGAACAGCAGTGCTGTTTTTAGGGTGCCGCGAATCTTACGTCATTGCCGATTTGCGACACTAGTGAAATTTTAAGGTTGCTTTCTCCCCCCTCCCCCCATGTCTGTTTACCGAACTTTGAAGTTTTAATGTTGTTAGCCATCTAGAAAAAACACTGTTCTCGGACTAGTGTACATGTAGGATAAACACGAAAATGTGTCCCATTCCATGTGCCTCTTAAAAAAAGGGGCAAAGCGTACCTATGCAGAGAGTGCCCGTGATATCGGTGGTGTAGCCTTCCTTGCAGAGGCATCGGTAGGACCCTCTCTCGTTGATACACTCCCCGTTCCGGCAAACGTCGTGAATAACCTTGCATTCGTCAATATCTGCAATTCAGTAAATAGGACGATAGAGTAGGTAAAACAGAAGTGGGGGGAAAAAACAAGCAGCATGCCTAGATTCAGTGCTACTCTTGTGCTTCCGCAGCAGACAGATATAATTTATGGATCAAGGCATGCTCCTTCCATTTAGGAAGCTTGTTGAGAAAAGGGAAGGAAGCCAGGATCCTTAAAAGAAGGGACCAGTTGGGAGTCCCCTTCCCAGGTTCTGCCCCGGGCTGGCCTTTTCTCTTTTTCCCTCCACTTGGTTTGTGTCCCCGGTGATGCCTTCACAGCCACAGCCCTTAATTTCTCCTCCTTCTAATTGGGGGGGGGACGGGCGAGCGAAGGGGGGAGGGAATTGCACTTTGGGACCATGCCCTGACCCTCAGGCCATTGCTGGCACCCTCTGCGGCTGAGAGTCCAAACAGGCGGCTGGGCAGGAAAAGGGCAGGACGGAAGCTGCACCTCCCGAAGCGAGGAATACGGCCTTTGCCGTTGCTGATCCCAGAGGCCGAGGGGGGGCGGCTGAGCCTCCCGAATAAGACTGGGCTGGACATGGTCTTCCCGCAGAAAGGAGGAATAAGCCCAAGAGGGGTGGGTCAGGCTCCACAAAGGGTGCTTCCACGGTCAAGTTTAGCAACTGGGACCTCGAACCACCGACTAGAACAAGGGGCAAATTATATTCTGCATCCTCTATTCCGCCCCCCCTTGAATCTAAAAAGCCACTTTTAAGACTCCTAATGGGGAAACTGTGGGTGGAGAGAAAAAAACTCAGGGTCCTCCGGCTTCTCTGTCGTCCCTTCCCAAGGCCGTTCGTCAAACAAACCAACCAACAAAAAAACTGCCAACTGGGTTTAATGCCCCTTTGCTGGCTGTACAAGCCGTAAACGACAGGGAAGTGTTCCATTGGGTGGGAGAGATGTTCCTGATCCCCCCGGGGTTCAAACAGAAGGACGTACCTGCACCATCGGTGGTGTATCCACGGCCATGGGGACAAAGCTTTTTAAAGGCGACAGTGCCCATGAAGGGGCAGATCTCGCAGTTGGGGCCCCACCCTCGCCCCCCATCGCAGCAGCACTCGGACTTGGTGATGGGGTTCCGGTTGCTGGAGCCAATCTGACACATGCTCTGCAAGACCTCGGTGAAGCAGTAGCCCTCTCGGTTGTCTGCGGAAGAAATGCAAATTAAGGGCCCTTTGTTCGTTTGGGAAATGTCAGCAGCCGTGAGCTGGGTTTGGGCAAGGGCCCCGGGCGAGAAGGAATTTGAGTGTAAACGAAAGAGGAGCATACTTAGCCATCGTTAGTGAGTTGCAACAGGGAGAGGGAGAGCCAGGCAGTAAGAAGAAAGAGGACAAGGCGTCTGAGGAAAAGAAAGAAAAGATCGTTAGTAAAGGGGAAATCCTGCCCGGATCGAGCGCTCGGCCCTTGCGATCAGATCCCGAAGGAGGAGGAGAGAAGAAGTGAATCATCAGAGTCCAAAGGTTTTCCGATAAATGGTTGGGGAAAAAAAAGCAGAAGTGACCTAAGCCTGGCTGAGGTCAAAGAGAAGGGGTCCATGCACCCGCTTAATCCGCCCCTCCTTGTAAATGCGTCCTGACAATTCCAGCCATGGTGGGGCGTCTTTCCGAGATGCTTGGGACAGGAGGGAGACGGGGTATGTGGTGTGCTTATGTGCATCCGTGCTTGAGGGACCCCTGGTGTGGAAGGGCAATGAAGTCAGCTGGATGCCGGGAAAGAGCAGGGAGAGACACACCTGCATTTACTGAGAAAGGGCTAGTTCACCCAGGCACATCCATCATCGGGTGGCTGCCATGTCAAGAGATCATTTGAATGTGTGAAACAGCCATCACAGCAGTTAAAACCATCATGCCATTCCAGAAGGCCTCAAACAGAATGCTTTTCTGCTTTTCTGTGGGGGTTCTTTCTTCGTATTCAGCCTCCACCGGCTGTGGGATTAATGATGTACGCACATGTCTGAAGGAGTCCCACGAGTCTGGTGGTGCAGGACTTCCCATCGTTTCCACGAACAACATTTAAGAGACCTAGCGGTGCTTAGAGCCTCTTCCTCTCCTGGGACCTGGACAACTCCAGTAACACCCCCAGTTGCCTCCCACGACAGGGAAACAGCTACACCGTGCACGTCAGTTGGACTTATTATGGCCAAATAACAGGCGAAAGCAGGCAAAACCATAAACGAGTGGTCAAAACATGAATCATTGGTTTCTCCAGACCACCCTTCCCTTCTCTGCTTCTCATACTTACCTATGCATTCATTCTGGGCTTCGTTGACATTGAATCCATCGTGGCATTCGCACCGGTAACTTCCTTGCGTGTTGATGCAACGTCCGTTTTCACACAGCCCAGGTTTACTCTGGCATTCATTCTCATCTGTATAGGGTCAATGAAATGTCACAGAATCCTATCGTTAACATACGTTAATTCCCTGTTCACTGACACACACTGTAAACCTGTTCATGTGGTTCTAAAGAGGATAGATATTGATAGGGAGAAATTTTAAATGCACTAAGAAATAATGGCCTTTGAATTGTATAAAATAGCCCCACTAAGCAATTTCAGGAGCGATCCAAAGGAATCGTTTTACAGTGCAAACAGATTTCATTTCCATTGGTGGGGGAGCGGGAAGAAAATGCAGGGAGGAAGAATAAAACTTCCATCAACACATTTATGCGGGGGCAGAACCTTGGTTTGGGAATTTATTTTATCTGTTCATGGGAAGGGAGAGGGATCGTCCTGCTGGGAAATCACGTTACCGAGAGCCACCCAATCCAACTTGCCTTAACAGCCGCTCCTCCTGGAAATGAATTTGCTGCCTGCCTTGACGAGTCTATTTTCTAGATAGAAGGACGTGTCTTCACTCACCTACGCAACCTTCCCCATCTGGCCTAGGCTGGAATCCCGGTCCACAGATGCACATGTAGGTGCCGATCAGATTTTTGCACGTCATTTGCTTTGAGTCACAGTCGTGAATCCCTTCTTCGCACTCGTTCTGATCTGAAAGCATCGGGCGAACATACTGACAAAAAGCAGGGGAAGGCTGAAGCAGGTTTTCCGAGAGCTGTGAAAATCTGGGTTTGGGGGGGGGGACACACTATGTCGATATACCAAATTCCCTAGGCAGGTTTGTGGTCTGGAATCCAAAATCTGCACAAACCTATTTTTTACCCTTATAAGTAAAAAAGGAAAGCATGTGTTTAGATAAACTAATATGCCGCCTTTCACAGCTTACTCTGAACATCAGCTATGAAACTTAGAAGGACAGAGGTACAACAGAAAGAATAAATATACATAATGGAATGTCCTATGTTTGATTTTGAAGTATTTCTTTTTTTATGCTGTGAATCCGGGATAGCAGTATCTACGCTCATTATTTTAGTGATTCTGTGGGAGGTGGCCATCTCAGAGAGAAAGAGAGAGAGTTACTCTGTCATGAGTTTTTTCTTCTAAGAAAAAGTGATCCCGATGGTTATTATTATTATTATTATTTTTACAAATGAGGTTTTACTATAGAAGAACTTGATCTCTCTCACACATAGGTTAGTGACCTGAGATCCTCCCCACATGTTTCTCTGTTGACTGAGCAGGTTAGGTCGGGTGGAAATTCCAGGCCAAGCACTGGAGGACCAGCCGTTGCTTGGAGCTGGACCCACTGCATACATGGCACTACAATTTGCAACAGCAGAACAGTGTTTCATCAAGCATAATACAGTTCAGTCATTAAAAGATTACATCCAAACAGGAATTAGAGGAAAAGATCTATATTCCTAACTTTGAAGAAAAGTATTAAATTCTCCTGGACTTGTATTTGCTATAAATCAAAACCCTCTGATACAAAGTTTATTCAAAATCCTTTTTAAAACATGGCGGCGCAACAGGGTTGATTCCTGTTGACACCTAGAGAAAGAGAGCCACATTCAGAACCTAGACGCTTTTTTTAAAAATTGTTTTTCTCTGTGATTAAGCAGCTGCTTCTCACAAATTGAATCAAAACAGGAAGTGCTGATCTGAAAGTTAGTCAAGAGGGATTTTAGATGATTTAGCTCTAGCTTGGCTGGTGGTATCCAACAATCCGTCTGATCGCCAACAGAGGGGTTTTGGGGACTCTCACCTTTACACATCCGCTTGTCTTCTCGAAGGATGTACCCAGCAGGACACTTGCATTCATAGGATCCGTAGGTGTTCACGCACCGGAAGGCGCAAAGCAGAGGATTCTGAGCACATTCGTTTACATCTGTATAAATCAGATAAAGCAATTCCAAGTTAGCCAGTTGTCCTTGTTGAAAAGCGGCCCCTGACATTTCCACACTGTTTTCTGCCTTTCTCTGGCTGTGAAAAAAAAAGGAGCAACAGGTATGAAGGAGCCTTCCTAAGTAAGGGACCCGGAGTGAGAAATCCCTCTTTCTTCCACAGCCATTCATCTTTCCCAGATTTTGGAAGAACACCGAACCGGGTGTTTTGGGGCTCCTTTCCACCTGCTGCACCCGAGGCCTGCCCGACAAGCATCAAAGTCTGTGATTTTATTCCTTCTAAGTGCGGAGAAGGGATGGCTTCCTCAGAATCCCAAAGCCTCAGAGCGACATGTGAGTCAGAGAGCAGCGTGACCTTTTCCTCCTTTCCCTAAAAAGACCTGCACTAACACGCTGTGATGCTCTTTGTAAGAACAACAGACTGGTGGAAAAGCACGGATCTCTGCCTTACATGCACCTTCCTAAGGGCTTTCCCTGAAGCGTACGTGAAGAAAGCAGGAGGGCCGTTACCTTCGCAGGTCACCATCGGTCCAGGCTCAAACCCTTCCTCACAACTGCATTCAAAACTTCCAATGATGTTCTTGCAGGTCCCGTTGCCACACGGATTCCCTACCGAGCACTCGTCAGTATCTGGGGATAGGAAAGAAAACAAAACCCAAGCACGGTGGGGTGGGTGTCACAATCCTCAGAATGCTGCCACTGCTGCCAATTTGTAGAAAAGTCGGGCTTAATTTATGAAGAATAACACAGACCAATTTACTGCTTCAATTCTTTAATACTTGACAGCCACCCCAAGCACTGTTTTTAGTGAAAAGACAAGGGTAAACTAAATACAGAAAGAGAGAGATCAATCAAGACCAGCACTTCAACTTACCTACACATTCGGTCCCCTCAAGGACATAACCAAACGGACATTCACAACGGAAGGAGCCATCGGTATTGATACATTGCCCGTGTTTGCAGTTGTCAGGATCTTGACACTCGTCCGCATCTTAACCCGCAAAATTAATCAAAAAGAAATACTGGTGAATGCTATGTTGAAGAATTCCAAAACAACCTTACATCATCCATCAACGCAAACAGTAGATTAGTCAAGCGAACGAGGGTCCTCCGTTGTAAGAAAAGGAAGGCAGGCGATTCCAATCAAGACCTCAAGAAATTATCAACATTTGTGTATCTCCTGAACTAAAATAAGACTCCACAGGTGGCACTGAAAGGCCATCAGTCAAGCAATCTTTGTCGCCCAACTTGGGCGCCCAACAGGTCAACGTCAATTTGCCACCAAATGTTAGGCCTTTTGAGTAACTGAACAAGAGGATATAATTGCGTAGAGATCACAGATGAACATTGAGATTTTAAGGTCTGACAAAAGAAGATGAAGTGAAACTAGGAACAGATCACTTACCAATGCGTTCACCATGTGGTCCAACCAGAATGCCAGATCCGTATGGACAAATTTGCCGATAAGCTTCTGTAATTCAAACAGAGATATGAAACCACAGAAAATCAGCCGGTTTTGTCGTGGTAACCATTAGATGTAATGAAGAGCACATACACCTCACATATAGGTTTCATTTCTAAGAGAGTGTGTGCATGCGTGCACGTGTGTGTGTGTACACAATTGGAATGATTTGTTCATTTGGCGCAATCTCTCAACCTCCAAACTCTCTTACAAGAGCTATGATCAATAAGAACAAATGTCTCCTTACGGCAAATTGTAGCTACTGCTGTAAGTATATATATTCTGAGTGCATTCATTTTATCAATATAAAAACCCAAAAATCTCAAGTATTGTGGGGTGAGCAGCACTGAATGTAGCCCTCAAGATGCGGGAGGGGGGCACCTTCTCCCAGCCCTGGATAGCTTGGCCAAGAATTGCTGATGGGACTTCCTGCTCTCATCCTCCCAACCAATTTAATGGACTGACCCTTTCAGTCCCTCGGCTGGCAACAGCAAGCACATCGGAACACTTACCGAGAGATTGCGCAAAACGGAGCAATAAGGTCTATGCTTGATGGCCAACAAAACCTGCTCCTTTATAGTACATGAGATTTTACTTGGTTACGATATTTCATGGTCCTATTTCCTCTCCTTAAATGACATTAAAGCATGCCAAGTCTTTCCTCTTTCAGGTTCCCTTCCTCTGGTCCAGGGCAAACTGATCAAAACCCCTTTTCACCCAGACTGGGTCTCCTGAACGTCAGCGGTCGCTGAAACTCTGCATTCTGGTGACACAACCTATCTAGGTAGAAGGCTACAAACCACCGGATCAGATCATGAGCTGCAAGCAAGTGGGGTCCCACCCTCTTGGGAGCTTCCATTTCAAGATCTTGCAACAACCATCTGAAAGGTTCCCCCCTCCAACACGCACCATTCCTCACAAACTTATTGATAGCAAAATGACTGACTTGTCATTTTGATTGGGGAAAGGCATTAAAACAGTCCCATGAGAGATTCCATATATACCGTTTGCTTCTTCCGGGCAGAGTTCACAGGGGTCACCCCATCCTTCTCCGTTCATATTGCAACAACACTCTTGCTTGGAATGGTTTCTGGATTTGGGAACAGTACATTTCCCGTCTTCAAATTTGGTGAAACAGTAGCTTATTCTCAGATCTACACAAATGAAAATATACAGTAGTATATGTTAAGGGTTTGTAAAAAAAAATTTAAAAGGAAAAAGATTAACATTGAATGTACTAAAACATCATTTAAGTTACCGATGGTTACAATACACAAATACATTAAGTTCTGATCTGCACATGAAAAGTTGTTTTCTGAAAAATTCCACCGTAAATATTAATTCCAAAGTATGACAAATTACGGCAGTCAGTTAAATAAAATCTTTGCCCGGCTCCTCTGGTTTTGCTTAAGCTAAATCTCTGCACTTTCTCCTTGCGTTATTCCAGAGCTGTAACACTGAAGTCGCTGTGTTAATCCTGTGCAAGTACATCTGGACAAAGCAGAACGGAAAAAGGGAAACATCCTTGTACCTCAAAGACCATGTTTTATATCTCATTATGAGCTTTTGCAATCCGTCCATCCATCCAAAGCTCACCCTGGAGCAAAACAGATCCTTTTGCTTTCTATTTTGGTTTTGTCCGGTTCTTCAACTGCTAGAACACCCTACAGACTCCAATGAAATGCTGGCTTTAATTTTGCTATAATGAACACACTTTACAAGTGTTTCCAATCTGAAGCTCTCACTTCATCCTTTTATACAAATGCAAAAGTTAGGTGATACCTTTACAGTATTGAACTATTTTTCAAAAAACCACATAAGAAAGGTATCACGCTTGCACGTATGTAATCCTGAACCACATGGCCTTTTCCAGTTCATCTTTTTATGTGACCAAAGAAGCTACAGATTACAGATCAAAATTTTAAAATTCTATTTTACAACAATTTTTATTGCTGAACACTCCTGCATTTCATAGATCTGAAAACATCCAGAACACCAATGCCAAGAAGAAAGAACTGTAGATGAAAAAAGTGTAATATTGCAGGCAAAAAAAAAAAAAAACTTTCTTACTTTAATTCCAAGGGGCTATTTTAATTTTGTTTCCCTACTCAATTCCTGCTGCAATGTTTATAAACCAAAGATGGGTTTGAAATTAAGAGCAGTAGATAATGTAATAAAGGGGGGGGGGGAGAATACCAAAGTGGGCTGTAGCACTAAGACTGTTTCAAGCCAGTGACTATTCCCCCACCACCACCACCACCACAAACAGGGCTGGCAAACGACCCAGAGGTTAAATGGAAACCTTTGCTGGTTTTGTTTCGCCACCCTGTGCTCTTCCGTGCCCAGTAATTGAAACACAGTCTGGAGCAAAGGAGAGACCACAAGCCTCTCCCAGACGGGCTGCTGGCCAAAGAACAGCCCCCAGCGTCAGCTGCAAAACCAGCTGCTCCTCCAGGATTCCTGGATGGGAGATTCACACCAAGCAATATCCCAGGCTTTTTTTTTTTAAAGCCTTAGATAAAGAAGAAAGAAGACCTCCAAGGGCTCTGGACTTATTATGCATACTCAGGCAATCAATTAAAGAATGTTTAGTTAACATCTCATTTGCTTTTTAAGGGATTAAGTTGTTAAATTTGAATAAAACTGCATATTACCTATACTGTAGCGTAGACTAATTTTAGAGAGAGAGAAACAAAGGCAGAAGAATGACTAATATATCTTACAGTTTAAAAAAACAACTATTTTGTCGGGTTTTCCTCGCGGAAATCACAGAATTAGTCACCCTGGAGAAAGGCATCAAGGGCAGGAATCAAGGGCTCTCCAAGGAAGAAGCTCCCCCACGAAGTTCTTCTAAGCTGAGCTGTAACCGTCTTAAAAGGGGTGAAGTGTTTTCCACTTGGGAAAGGCTAAAACCACCAGCATAAGACACGTCTGATATTTTCAGCTACAAAATTATACCACAAACACTCCTCCTCGTTTCTTTAACACAAGCACATTTTTTTAACAAAAGGGGCCAAACCACAAAGTGGTTCTGGAATTCTGATAAATACTTGTTCCCGGGCCAAATTAATCATACTGGCCGTAGCAGGAAGGATCGGTGGGCATCAGTCTCCAGTCCCAGTTTTGCTACTGACAAAACGTTGAGATGGAGTCGATAGTCCAAGCTGCTGCATAAAGCCATTGCTTGTCCGATAAAGCAGAACATTGAGGAGTCGGAAGGAAGGTGCTGAACTGCATGCTAATGTTATAGGAATGGCCCTTGAATGGATCTTGCACCCAGGGACTGGAGAGACTGCACCAATATAAGAGTCACAGAGTAGGAACAAACATTATAGACAGCCCATCAACAGAAGAGGAAAGTCTTTAAGGGCTGATTGCCTGTGAGTGTCACAGTAGGAGCTTTTCTCACCTCCCTGAGCTTGCAAATCAGTTTGCTTTCTTTGTGACTAGTCTAGACTAGACTAGGTGATGACTTAGGCATGGGAGTGCTTTAAGTCTGGTTTCCCAAGTCTCTCTCCAGGGCTCTCTCTCTTCTGACGAGGCTGTCTATCCCATAGGGGGTTCTGTCCTCAAGAACCAGGCAAAAGTTGCAAAGCTTTATGACAAAAAAAAAATACATGGGAGTGAATCCCACCGGATCCAGCAGGGTGTTCACTGGTGTAAACGTCATTGGGACTGGTCTGAAAGTCTGTTTGCAAGCCCGTGACAACCGAGTGGCTCTTCGTGTTCACAAGGAGCCGGTTTCTTATCCGAGAGAGACCACGGTTAATTTCGAAGCTTGCATATCTGAACAAAATAACAAGGAAAGGCAGGGAAAAAGAAACCTTACCTTGGCATCTTCGTCCACTCAAGGAGACAATAAACCCTTCGGGGCACAAGCAGGTGAAACTCCCCTCGGTGTTCTTGCAGGTACCCAGGGCGCAAATCTCTGCCTCTTCCACGCACTCGTCAATATCTGAAAAGCATGAACACTTTGGCTCTATATAAAAGCGATCACGCCAGGAGGCAATGCCTTGCACAGTCCACATCTGTCTGTGCAAAGTCAGTCTGCAGACTGTGCTTGCTCCTGAGCCATCCCCAAAACCATTCCCCTTCTAGGGCAGTCTCACGTCCCTTCAGGGAACACACAGAGAGAGGGAGAAGAAATCTTTGCCTGCTTGTGCGAAACACCAAAGTACGGCAGAAGCAGATCCTTTGAGACTCCTGCCCACGAGCTGTGTTGGGAAGAGGGGAGGAAGGGACAAGGTCACTCTGCCCCAATTCAAAAGGAAGCCTCTCTCTTCCTTAGGGGGACAGCACAAGCTCTCCCTCTGACCTTCCCAAGGTCTGTCGTTCTCCTTTGGGAAATGAAAGATCCTTGCGTACCGTTACATTTGTCATTCTCCAGCACGTATCCAGGCGGGCAGATGCATCGGTACGAGCCATCCAGATTCTGACAGGTCCCTGGGACACATTTGGTCGGATCCAGCGCACACTCATTGATGTCTGAAAGGAGACAAGAACAGGGCGAGGTTTCGCTTACTTTCCTTTCTCTTCACAAGACCTCATTCCCTTTCTTTCTGTCAATGCTGCTTACCTTGAATTTTTTTTCAGTGCAAACAAAGGGGAGACTGAAATAGGCCGGGGTAGGACTAGGGAAGCATCGAACAGAAAGAACCCATTTTCCATGCCACAAGGTGAATTAAATAATTCATAAGAAGAAGGAACGGGGCTCATTAAATAAAGAAAAAAGGGAACATGCACAACACTATGCCCCTCTCCCCAATGAATTAAAGTTGTTTATAATTCATTATAAAAATATTGGAAACAATCCAGGCCAAGTGAAGCCAAGTTAGATCCCAAGGGGGGGGGGATGTCACATCCATCACCAGCAGAATGGATTCTGACCCTGGGGATATATATATATATCCTTGATGTTATGATTTATAATTCCAGTCTGTGAGATATATGCAAATTGCAAAAGAAAAGGGGGAAAAAACAACCCAGAATATTTTACTTATGAGCAAGATTCTCTAACATGCACAGCCTGAAGCAAAAACTACCTGGGAATCCAATAAAAGCAGTTATAAACATTTGGTCCCAAGAGCCATACAGTATGCCTGCTTTAATAATGGGAAAGAGTTGATTGGATTCCACAGGGCACTGGCTTTTTGGAAAATGTTTTTAATTTCGGCAGGATGTCTGCTCTTATCTTTTCTCCTCCTCCTCACCACAACGCACAAGAACGTGAGCCGCTAACCCCTGGCCCAACCCAAACATGGCAGCCAGACATGGCCATTGCGCTTATGATGACCTACCGACGCAGGTCCTTCCATCTGGAGGCATCTCATAGCCATCGTTGCAGAGACACTGGAATGAACCGACGGTATTGATGCATCGGCCATTTCTGCACAGGTTTCCATTGCCACTGGCACATTCGTCAATGTCTACAAGGAGAGAAGGATGAGGGAGACCGTCAGCGATCAGGAAGAGAAACAGAATACAAGAGAGAGGGGAAAGTGGGGGCAACCGAAGCAAAGGACTATGATTAAAGCCTTCAAAATGTCTCTTTTTTTTAAACAGAAGTAACCTCAACTGTCCTTACAAGGAAGGGGTTTTTGTCAATGGCAAGATGTCGCAATATGTTAGAGAAGGGAATGGCAAACCATTTTTGTGTATTGATTAGCTAGAAAACCCTGGACAGGGTCTCCCTAAGTCAGAATTGACTCAACAGGAAGCAATTATTAGTAGTAGACTTGGGGTAGGGGCAGCTGTTCTGCCATTGTGTAGCAGCATATAAATGTGACGCCAGATGCCATCATCGTCAATGGATGGTCTTCCGAGCTTAGCAATATCATCTCTGCCTGTTCTGCCAGGGCAATGCAGGACAGCTCCAACAGGCCAGTGTGGCGCGCAATAAATAAAACATGGTGGTTGTGGTAACTGCTGCTCTGCCATTTTCCTCCAGCTGTTCCGTCATGAATCTGATTGCCCTGCACAAAAGCACTAAGAGTTTTTGCAAGATTCTTGGAAGGCTTCTTTACCTATGCAGTCATTATTGTGAGAAAGGATGAATCCTGTGAAACAGCGGCAATTGAAGGAGCCGACTGTGTTCCTACACGTGCCATTTCCACATGGGTCTCGCTCGCACTCATCAATATCTGCGAAGAAAACAGCACCGTTCGTCAATATCATTCACAACTTGGAAGGCACACAGATAGGACTGCATCCATCGCTCGAGATAAAACCCCTTTGGAGGACTTGGTTACAATGTTTGCACATCCTGGAGAAAGGCAGAGGGGTAGAGACAAACCGTCCGGGACCGTGGGGTTACCCCCAGAGAGACCACCTATGCTTTCAGGAGATGCTGCAGGCTAGTCAAAATATGGTGCGGAGAAGCGCACTATCTACCTCAAGATGACAATGAGAGCACAAGATGGAGCCAAGAGATCATAAGGATGTCCGTAACTGCCGGTATCCCCTTCCTGAGACCCTTCTCAGCATGAAAAGCATAGACCTTGAACAGTGACGAGAAAAAAGCCAAGCAAACCATAAAATTAAACTATCTGACATGGCAGAAAGCACGGGAAGCATGAACAGTTTCCCACTAACAAAGGCCTCCGCTGGGTTTTGTGTATCTCGGTGGCAAGTCTTGTCCTGAGATATTTCTGCACTAGCCATTGCCAAAAGTTGAACATCAAGACGGCCTTTTAACATCCCCGCTATTAGCTTTGTCCTCTTATTGTCCTGAAAGGTTGGGACCGGATGCCATACCTACCTATGCACATGTTTTGATCCTCATTGGTTTTGAATCCAGTGTGACAACGGCAGATGTAGCCTCCCTCGCGGTCTATGCAATCCCCGTGGCTACATATGTTGGGGATCTCTTGACACTCGTTGCGATCTGAATAGAAAAGTGAAAAATAAAAAAGGACTCGAGGAAGCTTTTCTCCTATCCAGTCCACTCGTGGGTTCAGTTAGCTTAGGACAAGACAGGACTGGGCTGGTTCTTCCAAGCTCACAAGCAATGGTCCTTCCCATCTTTCCTACTGCCTGGCATCCCAAGTGTTCTCATCATAGCAAGGTCAAGGAACTGGCAAGTTTTGCCTTTTCCTTAGGCTCTAGGAGACTAAATGCTGCCTTTGACTCCGAGCTGAGGCTTGCCCAAAACCTTCTCATTTCACTCTTCCAGACATGGGAGAGAATTGTGTTACACCCCCACCCACCCCGCTCAAAAATATATCTTCTGCAATTGCAAGGTCTTCCAGATTAACTTAATGACCTTCATCAGAAGCATAAAACACTAACTTGATTTTAAAGTCAAGGTGGCGGGGTGCGATTTATTTTTAAAAAAACCCGAATCGGCAACAATGGCCAATGGAAGAATTCCATCAAAATACAACAAGGAATAAATAACTCAACGTGATGAAAAAACAGTATAAGGATTTACGTGTTTGGAAACAACCTTGATATGCTATACTCTTTTCTCTGTGTTACTTAAAACGGCATGTTTATCAACAGTTTAACACTGCACCTTATTTCCTACAAAAGCCACAGCAAAATTCAGGGAAATAATTTTGGTGCCAACATGCATTAAAGGGCATTGTTGTTCCCTATCAGCTTCTGGCCGGGATCTTCCTGTTACTGTTTCAAGGAAGGATTTTAAGTATAATTATGTTCACAACCCGCTAAGGCCCTGTTTGTGCCCAAACAAAACAAGCCTTTCATTCTCGGTGCTCAAATTCAGTTCTGCTTCTACACCCTTTTCCCACCAGAGCTTTGTAAAACCATACGTGGTAGGGGAAAAGGGGGCTCTTCCAAAGGTTGAAATGTGCAGAACAGAAAAGGCCAGGGAAATGTGGCTTCAGTCCTTTATTTTTTTTTTTCACAAGAATGGGTGAGTTCCTCATAATGGTAAACAGATTTTTCAAGATCAATGTTTCCAACGGATTTAGAGCAAATTAAAGGCACTTTTTGATGCTCGCACCATTTGGGCTACAGAAAGGCATCCCTAGAATTCAGTCTGTTGCTTGTCTGATGGTTTGCAATGCTGAAGAGGTGAGTGTGTGGGTCGCCATGTGAAATAAGCCTCTGCCCTTGAGCACTTGAACACATGCACATCTTGGCTATTCTCCAAAAAGGAAACCCTCCTAGTGGCACAGTTGCCCCCTTGGCTACAGGGAAGGGAAAGGTTTCAGAAATAAACCTTCTCCAGATCAAAGCACCTTCAGGTCTGGGCTCTCAATTAAGTGATCAAAATTGCTCCACAGATAAAAACTACTATGTTTATATAAAAACACCCCTAAAACTGCTTACAGTAAAGAGTGTACTTGCAGTACACTTAGCAAAATAAATGGCATCTGTATGCAGAGGAAAAGGAAAAGACTTTGCGTTCCCTTGGCTAGGTGGGTTGTTGAACTTTCCAGGCCAAAAAAACATACAGTTCAAAAAATATAGGAAGTTTCTCTGGCACCTTGTAGAGAGAAAAAAACAACCACCAAACACTGCAGGCTCAAGGTCAAAGCACTTTGTAATTGCATTTTGAATAGAGATTTTTTTAAAATATGCATGTTCTCATCATATAAATAAGTGCCATTTGGACCGGTCTTTGCAAAAAGACAAACTTGTTCCAGCGAGCAATTCATGTAGCTACAAACAACAACCTCTTTACTGGCATACAGGAGCTTGAAAGTACTTACCCACACACCGGCCAACAGGTGTGAATCGGTAGCCCGGTTTGCAGTCACAACGGTAACTGCCAGGGGTGTTGATGCAATCCGCATTTTGCTGACATATGTGCCCATTTTGACATTCATCGATGTCTGTTGGTGACAGAAGAAGAAAATCAGCTTTCAAATGAATCAGGAGAAAAAGAAAGAATGCAGATTATTTTCAAAATTACCTTGGCGTGTCAATTAAATTTTGGTAGATGTTTCAGAGAATCTTTAGGTGTATGGTGGAAAGGGCAAGGACAGAGAGAAGCCAACATGTTGCAAGCAGATATACCACAGAGAAGGCAGAAAGCCAGCGTGGCCAAGGGTTTGGGCTGATCACACAGCAGCAAAACGAAATCCACTACTAGGCCACGTAGCAGGTAAAACAGCTTGAGCAATCCTCATGCTGTGAGCATTAATTGGGTTTTGTTTTCAAAGTTGTTGTTTGTTTGTTTGTTTGTTTTGCAGCTAGCAAAGCATCCGCTTTTGAGGCTTCATACTGGGCCTGACACAGGGTTCCTAAGCACCGTCCTGAGAAAAACAAGGAAGGCCAGAAATCAAGAGAATGAGCCACAGCTCCACAATGTTGTTGTTGTTGTTTAGTCGTTAAGTCGTGTCCGACTCTTCGTGACCCCACGGACCAGAGCGTGCCAGGCCATCCTGTCTTCTACTGCCTCCCGGAGTTTGGTCAAATTCACGTTGGTCGCTTCGATGACCCTGTCCATCCATCTCGTCCTCTGTCCTCCCCTTTTCCTCTTGCCTTCACCTTTCCCAACATCAGGGGCTTTTCCAGGGAGTAAGATGCAGACCTTTGGTGGCAAGGTGATATCTCTACTTTTTAAGATGCTGTCTAGGCTCCACCATGCATTTCAGTAATGTGCAAAGCTGCCCTCCATGGTGCTTTGGGCAAACACGTCTCTGTTTCAGTTGCCCATCTGGAAACTCTCAGCTTCGCAGCTCTTTTGGTGCGGGAATTAATGAGCCATGAACCATTTTGCCCAGTAAAAACCACTTACACGAGGAGGGTATAGGGAGCCTCTTAGAGAATGACTGGAAATCCACAAATCCATCATTAATTAGTCCAGACGAGGAAAAGTGACATATGTCACTGGTCTTAATTAGGAAGCGTAACTTTTTGGAAGACATGCTCCCTGCCCTTTTCTTCCCCTCACAGCTCATTACTAGCTACTAATTAGCACTACTTTTATTTGACCTAGTTTCCTTGCCTGCTGACTGAGAGAGAGAGAGAGAGAGAGCACAGCCTAGGACCAAGCAGTACTTTTCCATCTGCCACGCTCGTCCACAGCAGCACCTCGGAGGAAAAAGTCCTTCTGAGTTTATTAGCACAGATGGAGGCACGCCCGATGGGAACAGCTGCGCTCTCAGCCATGCAAGGGCCGGTCCAAGCAAATAAGGTTTGAAACCCTGCCTCTGGGAAGCCCTAGCCACTCCTCACACACAAGGGCCCCAAACCGAGCCGTGTGCCTCTGCCAAGGATGAAAAGCACAGCTCCAAAGACAGGGTTTGAATGGAACGTTAATAGGAGGCTTTTCATGAAAAAGGCTTAGGTTCACTCGTGTTAAGAACCTTCAGATTTTTTTTTGAGGACTGGAGGAAAGAGATGTGATTGACGCTCTTTCACTGACTGTTTCTTGTAGCAACCAACGCTACTCCCATGTACAATGTCTCGGCCAAACAGAGGAATCCGCCACCATGACGTTCCCTTCTTTTGTCCCGGCTCTGCCTGGAATACTTATGGTGGCCATGAAATCTGAACGCATAGAAAGACAGCAAGACCATTTTCCTGAATTCTCCAGACATCTTTATCTGTGCCTTTCTTGATTCTGGAAGACGATCCACCACCATTGTTGACTTGCCTCCATAAAAATGAAGAAGGAGGTTGTCTCTAGGAGGGCATGCCTTAGGACAGGGGCTCCCAACCTTGGGTCCCCAGAGATTCTTGGACTAAAACTCCCAGCAGCGTCCACTGCTAGCTGTGCCAACCAAGATTCCTGGGAGTTGTAGTCCCAAGAACATCTGGGCGACCCAAGGCTGGGAACCACCGCCTTAAGTTGACAATCTTTGGTTGCTGGTGGTTCCTTTTAGAGGCTAGGATCACCATGTGATTCCCTACTGAGAGTCACGGTAGGATTCCACTGTGAAAGCCTGCTAGACAGGCATGTAGAGGAGGAAGTCTTTCTCCCGTGTAATTCTCAAATTGTGAAAGTCATTCCCATCCGAGCTGCACTCAGTTTCCACTCTCGCTAGTTTTAGAAAAGGCGTGAAGACCTCTCCCTTCAAACTGGCTTTCGGAAACCATCTCCCTTATGGATTATAATGGTCACTTGGACAGCTCTTCATTGCTTGAGTGATCATTTTCATCGATTTACTGTACTTTGGGGTTTACTTTTCAACTTGCATTAGCTTATTTTTAATCCTGTTTGCCCGTCGCTGAGCAGAATGTTTTCTGGGGGTCAGGATGATGCCGGGAAAGAACTGGAGAGCGAGGAGGCAGCAAGGTCGGATCCTGACCCACGCTGCCCTTGAATGCACCAGCCTGCGGCTCTCCTTTGCCCAAGCCTTTGCTCTGTTCAATCCATGGGGGCTTGGCCTCCTCTCTCACCTTCACAGATCAGGAGCTTATCGTTGTAGAAAAATCCTGCTGGACATTCGCAACGGAAGCTGCCGACCAGATTGATGCAGACACCGTTCTCGCAGACGCCTGGGATCTCGCGGCACTCGTCAATATCTGTGTGAACGACATACAAAGGCATGAAGTGAAAAGTGATCAGATCAAACAGAAAGCCATTAATTTTTTTTTTTTACATAAAAGACCGATATTATGACTTTTTAAAACGATGCTCCTTAAGAATTTTTGTCCAGTTTTCCTTTCTGTACCATGGACTGCTCCGGTGTGCATGAATGATTAACAATTTATTTCTTGTGAATAAAAACAAGAAAGGCGGGAGGGACTTCCGGCTAAGAATACAGTCGGCGTCTTCTCATAAATTCCTCCCATTTCCCGCTCCCCTGGGTTTAAGATTTGGAAGCCTTAGCTATAAAACGTCAGCACACTTATATACTATGTGTGAAAAACATTCGGTCCAAATTCTTTCCTTGCCTCTCTCTGTCTCTCTCTCTCCTCCTTCAACTAAGCACAAACCAGAAAGGAGCCTCTCCTCAAAGCTAATAAATACCCAGAGCAACTGATGTGAAACGTCAGATAAAAATCTTTGCATTTAGCAAGAAGAAAAGGCTCCCGGTTGTTCCCTTTCCGAGCCATTCCTGGCTGGCAGCTCTCCCAGAAAGCTTCCCACCCATCAGTACCTAGAGCCCCACCAAGGGACGTTTAATCCCAACGGGAGCAGAGCTTCCCACAAACTCTCTCCCAGGCACCGCTTGCCCTGACGGACAAGCCGAGAGGGCCCCGGAAAGGCGTCCGGCCTGGCCCAGCTAAAACTGCATGAGGTGGAGGTGGCGTTTCCACTCGCATTGCTTAGTCTCCACTCCTTCCTGGGAAAAGGCATTTCATGAAATGAAAACAACCCCCTGGCCCATAAAATATAGCCTATGGAATTAAAAATAATAATAATAATAATCGGGTACAATTTCAACTCACCAACAGGCAGCCCCGTGTAAATGTCGATGAAGAAACCAGGCCTTTGACTTCCACACAGGGTTGAAAATTCATCTGAACATAACGAAAAGGAAGGAAAGGTTATGAAGGCATAAAATCTTTTATTTCTACTTTTGACTTTTCCATCTGTTGAAGTCCCAAAGTCAGTTCCGACGGACTCCTCCTCCTCCATTCCATTCCAGTCATTTTTACTGTTTTCGTTATTAAGCTGTTGTGTGTTTTCATCTTCTGAAATTGACTCTTTGCCTAAGCTTTCTGGGGGCATCCCTGAGAAGACACGTCAAATCATCATCCCGAATTTACACACAACAGGAACAACAAACTGGATGCAAATCGTTTTATAGGAATGCACCCTTGTAGATGACAACCCTTTACGTTTTTTAAATGACTATTTAAAAGAAGAAGAAGCCATATTTGCATTCATAATCCCTTCCCTCTGCTTCGACCCTGGCTTGATGTAGCTTCGGGTGATTTTGCCAGCCCATTTCTGCTGGCGGCAATCAAAAGAGACTCCCGGACCAAGACCTGAAGCGGCCTTGATCCAAGCCCCTCCACACATGCTACTCCGCGCTGTGCTTGCGGGTCTGGCTGCTCCCCTCGGCCAAGGCACGAACCGGTGCTGGGGATGGGGCACTGCTCGCAGGGCCTGTTCCAGGCTCTCCCGATGTTGTACGAACAGCAACACATCTTCTTGGTCATGTTGAAGAGCAGCTCCCCATCACAGGTCTGGTTTTCAGCGTAATAGTTCCTGTAGCACAGGCTCCTCCTCATATCTGCAAGACAAGGATTTGGGGACAGGCGGGGAAGAGACCAGTGTGTCTTAGTACCATAGACCTCAGGACCACTTCAGAGATTTCCAGGACAGAGAGAAGCAAGAGGAGGCAAACCCCATTCTACCCATTGGCTTTAATGCCTTTCCATCGGTTAAGTCCAAGGGGGCAACGCCTCCTTCCTCCTTCTCCTCTGCTCTGTTTCACTGGCAACTTTTTGCCAAACAAGACCGGGGAGAAACATTCTTATCTGCACCACCAGAGGTGAAATTTGAAAACAACCACCTTTGGACAGGTTCAGCGCCCCGCCACCCATTTTGGAACTCAACATCTGGCCATGGGGTCTGGGATGTCCTTGTCTTTTCTCCACCATTCTATAATGCCCAGGCTAGCAAATGTCTGTGGGTTTATTTTAGTGGTCTCATAGAGACAGCACCCGCTCTTGTCTTCCATTGCTCTGTTTACAACAGTTCTACGAGGTGAATTCGATTGAGACCAGGAGCAGATTAAGAGAGAGCCCATTAGTAGAGCTGGGAGCTTTTTAATTAGGGATGGGGTTTTTTAGATTACAAATCCCATAAGCCTCCATTCCGGGAGTTATACCAGGTGGATGTGTAGTCCAAGATATCCAGAAATCCCATCCCTAACCTTAATGTCGCAAAGAGGTGACTGCAGCATTCTTCTCTTCCATGTTTCTGAAACCATGCTTTAAAGGAATAGCATGCTTACGTCCTAAAGACTATTCAGCAAGCAAAGCAAGCTATTCTAAAAAATCCCTGGAGGTGAGAGAACCCCTTATAGTTCAGGAATTCACTCTTCCAGCTGTGTGGAGTATCTAAAATCTCTGCTCCTCATGCTGGGGATGGGTCCAATCGCCTCAAGTCAAGCAGGGAGCTTCATGGTCAAGACCAGATTTGACCACCCCATCCCTTCCTCATCCCACTCTCTCAAGGATGATGGCTTTTGCAACATGATAGGGGTTCTCTGTTCAGAGCAGCAATGAGAGGTTGAGGAGTTCCCCCCCTTCGAATGCGACATCTCCCCATCAGAGAAAAGAGCGGCCCGACTTTGTGGTGGATCGTGCCCCAGGTAAAATCAGTGTGCATTGAAAAAAATCCTAGTTTTCTTGGGTCTGGTCTCCTTGGGTTGGAGTAAGAGATTGCGATAGCTGACCCATGGGGTAGAAGCTTCAGTGAACTCAAAATAACCATCGCAAGAGTAGGGCTGCTGTACAATTTGCAGGAGTTGGAATTAAGCTTGCCTGGGGGAGAACTTCTGAAGGACCGCATCCCATGATAACTAGTAGGGGTGGAGTGGCCTCCCCGTTTTTATTTTTTTATATTTAACTTTCAGTCCCATGATGTCTTGAAAGGGTCATGTCTTTGGAAATGAATACGTGCTGCTTCCCTGTTTCATTTGGGGCTGTAACTCGGGCGAAGCACCAACTTTTAGAAGGCAGCCAAATCCGCAGGTGAATTCTACTCGTGAATATTAGGAAAAGTGAGTGTAAAACAAACTTCCTCTTTCTTTTGGAGAAATATCACTCCTTCCTTTTTATACGGGGGGCTCAAGGCCGTGCGCCTCACCGTTGAGCGGGCGGGAAGTGGAAACAGCTTGCCCAGCTGCCAAAATGACTAGTTACTGCTCTGTTTTTTATGAGTTAAGCCATCTGTCTTAAGCTTTTTCTTCTCCTGTTTCCTTCCCCCAAAAAGGTTGGTCCGAATCCAGCATTCTTAGGTTACGAAGTTGACAGCTCTTGTAGAGTTACGTCACCTTCTAAGGAGAAACAGGTCTTGGAGGGCCATCCAAAATTTCACATATGTGCCACTTGGTTCTCTAAGTATGTGTCTCAGAACAAGCTCATCAAGAGCCACAGCACTTTGGCAGGCTAGACATGGGCGAACCTCAAGCCACCACGGGCTCTTATTTAAAATCTTACACAAGTCCCGATTTCACATACTTCTGGCGAAATGCTGGATGGTGATGTTGCACGTCTTTGGCTTTAGTTTGGCTTGAAGACGTCAAGAACCCATTTGGAACCTTCGACAGCAATTCAGCAGAAGGACAAGACTGAAGGACACGACACGTGAAAGCGGAAGGGGAAACCAGGCAGAAACTCACCAGCCTGCAGGACCCGGAACAAAATGAGACTTACAAGGGCCTGATTGGCATGAAGACTGGCTTCTGCCTGGAGCTGCACACTCGTTTTGACTCTATAGAAAGAGAGGAGTTTGACTCTTTTCGAAAAGTCATAACTTGTTTCTCCTCCATGTCAGGCTATGGGTTATGCTCACTAGAGGCCCTTCAAAGGCACTTGAATTCAGCCTATTTTTCAGCTGAATGGCTGACCTGTCTTCTGACCCAAAGGAGGAACTGGGCACGTGGAATCCACTTCAGCACGATCCTCTGATTTTTGAAACCTTGTGAGGCTGGGTTAAACAGGACAGCAACAGAAAAATCCAGATCCTTTCTGAAGGGAAGAGCAGGGCTGAGTTTGGACAGGAGGGTGTGCACACATCCCGCCCGCCCGCCAATAAATGCGTTTTCCGTGTAATTGTTCTGTATTTAACTACAAAACTGCCATCACTGCATCCAACTGCACTTATATACAGCTCAGCGGTTTAGGCTTCTGGATGCAAAGCCAGGGGTTGGGAGTTTGATTCCCAACCTGGGCCTCTGTGACTCCATGATCAGTAGAGTTCCCCTTGCAATTCTGCGGTTCTAAGGTTATGACCTTGGTCTTCGATGCTACATTACCCCATGGTGCTTCCCCTCGCCCGTCTCTGGCTGCTGGCCTTGAAACCCCTGAACACGATGGAAGTTTTGTAGCTACCTTGAACGCCACGAGACCTGGCCTTGCTTTCTCCTGCTAAAAGCACAGCGGCCGGCTGCAAGCTTTTGCCAGAAAAAAAACCCATTAGGAACGTCTGTTCATTGACCCACCGGCAGGAAGAGTCTGTCTTGCCAGAGAATGCAAACAGAACGTTCTTTTCAAAATGAAACTTTCCATTAATGTTGGGAAGGAAGCACTAAAATTAAACCGTGCTGTCTGATTAATCAGACATGTAGGAAGACATGTGACAAAACCGCTTCTTTTCTAGAGGTGTGTGTTTTAATATTAACTCCTTGTGGGGTATTTCAGTTGCACCTGGTTTCTTTTTTATTGAACTCGTTGTGAGTTAAGCTCCATTCTTGAGGGAACGGCAGGATTTAAATGAAATTAACAACCACTCAGTTGAGAAGCACAAAGAAATGGGGCGGTCTTGTTTGGGGGGAAACGGGCTTCGCTCGAGTTCATCTCGGTCACGCTGCCTGTGGCCAGCTCAGAATCTCCTCAGGGTACAAGTCAAGGTGTAAAACAGCAGCAGCAGCTGCCTCCTTAGTCTTTTTTTTTCTCCCTCGGACATTTCTGCCTCACCACACCGATATTTTCACTTGTGTCCAGGGTTGCCATCACTGAGCCTTTCCATGTGGTGTATCACGACTCCAGTTTGGATGCTGGCCAGAAGTTTTTAAAACACACAGACCAACTCACCCATGCAGTTGTTTCCACCGTTCACTTGCATGTAGTCCGGAGGGCAGATGCACGTGTAGTTCCCGATGGTGTTGTAGCAAGTGCCTGGCCCACAGAGGCCAGGGGTGATGCACTCGTCGATATCTGCAAGCAAAAGACCCATCTGGAGATTAATAGCAGAGAGAGGGAGAGAGAGAGAGAGAGAGAGAGAGAGAGACAGAGAAGATGGAGAAAACCTGCATGACCACTACATTGCTAAATCCTGGATTTTTATGAGCTGATGGGGACTAGAGGGTGAGGAGAGAAAGCCACCTGTACATGGTCACCACTGCAGTGCTGAGTGGAGGTTTGATATTGGCAAGAGCAGAGAGATTCAGTTAGCCTTGAAAAAACTAAAGCTAGGCAGGTTATTGTACAGGATAATGGCCCCTCCCTCCCTTCTATCTTTTCTTTTCTTTTCTTCTTTTCTTCCTTCCTTCCTTCCTTCCTTCTATTATTTCTTCGTTCCTTCCTTCCTTCCTTCCTTCCTTCCGTCCGTCCGTCCGTCCGTCCGTCCGTCCGTCCGTCCGTCCGTCCGTCCATCCTTCTATACTTTCCTTCCTTCCCCTTCCCTTCCTTTGCCTTCCTTCCTTCTAGTTAAATCTGCTCAAGTATCACCTGCAAAGGTGCTCAGTAAAGCCACATCAACGTTAGGGCTGCTATTTAAAGACAGAAGGTGTGGGCAAAATTGAACAGCTTCTGTGCATAAATCAACCAAGTTGAAATTACTGGGAATAATTAGTGCTTCTCTTAATCTTGTTTAATGTTTGCATAGTGAGACAATATTCTGCGCCTCACAGAGAACAAGGGTTGGTATACAATATCAAACCAAGAGGGTTTGCAGAGTCTATTAGATGGATAAGCCATGAGAGAATGAAGGAACAAAGAAAAAAGGAAGCACTTGGAAATTTAAAGGAATGCCATGGTGTTAATCCAAGGTGATGCTCACTGGAGAGTTCAAGGTTTCGGCCCCTGCTCCTTACACCATAAAAATACACCAGGAAGAGGGACAGTGGCCGCCGCCGCCACCCTCACCAATCTCATGCTGGACACCACACTTGGATATCCAGCGAAGGATACGCCTTCATGGCGTATACGGGTGGCATTTCCGCAGTATGGAATTAAAAGCAAGCACCCCCAATATTAAAATAAACCCCCGGCTTGCTTACCATCACAGACTCGAGTGTCTTCATTCAGATAATAGCCGGATGGACACTGGCATTGAAAGCTGCCAAAGGAATTGATGCATTGCCCACCTTGGCAAAGCCCAGGAAGTTCCTGACACTCGTCAATATCTATCCGCAAAAAGAAGTAACAAAAGTGTCTCATTAAGCAACGCAGCCACACTCCGCTTGTCCAGTATAGTTTGCTGCTGCATTACGACTGGTAAGGAAACCATGTGAAGAGAGAAGCACCTTCCAAAATGACTGTAATGGGATTTGGGCGGAATCCTTCTCCTCCTGGACACAGCAGCTTGTAGTCAGCTGGAAAAAAGAAAAGAAAAAACAGGTTTTAGGGGTCTGTCATAGTCAAAGGTTTTGATGGAAAAACATGGCATTTATTTTGTTTTTTTCCTTCCGCAACATCTCCCGCACCTCTGACACCCCCAACCTAGAGGCTCTTAGGAAGAAATCAAACAGAGATGTACTGGACTCTGCTCAAAAGTTCATTTGGGCCCAAATCAATTTATTATTATTTTCAAATACATTCTTGCATCATCTGTTTCCTCAGCGCTATTGCAAAGCTGGCACATTTTTATACCAGAAAGAGCACCAACTCCCGGCCGTTTAGCACAGGACCCTGACCCCATGGGGGGGCCTATTAGGGATCAGGACTCCCCCACCAAGAGAGCAAGCCAACCGAGATGCCCAACCAGCCCCCTTGGCTCACTTACTTGAGTTCACGGCAGGACACTGTTCACACGGGATCCCCCACGCTTTGCCAAGGGAACAGCAGCAAGAGGCCTTGGAAACGCCGACGCCGATTTCGTTGCTGCAAGCCACGTCCCCGTTATCTCCTCGAGGTTTAATCTCCAAGTAACAGTAGCCAGAACGTGTATCTGGAGGGCAAAAAGAGCCAGAGGTTCCTGGTACCACGACAAGTTACCTTTGCAGTCTGTGTGTGTGTGTGTGTGTGTGTGTGTGTGTCTGTGTGTCTGTGTGTGTCTGTGTGTGTGTGTGTCTGTGTGTGTCCACTCAGACACACACACATGTGCGTGCATATATAGACACATATACACGTATATACCTCCCATATAAGCCATGCTACTGCTGTCAATGCTTTAGAAATTCCTCTTCTTATAACTCTGCATTCTTCACCTCCTGCTAGCATGTCTTCCTGATGTCTCATCGGAGCCATCACATGTCCCAGGGATTGGGGCCCCGAGTTGTGGGACTTTGCAGTCACGTCAGCTTTCAGTCACACTGGTGACTCCACTCAGATTTGACTCGTTTTTTTGTTTGTTTTTTAATGACTCAGACTCTACTCGGAACCCACCCACCCTTCCCTTTTTTGGGGGAGGGGGAGACTTCTTTTTCATAGGGACTCAGACTTGGGACTTGGGACCCAAAGCCTTTGCCGACGTGGCGGCCGCATTTAGCACCTAAACGGTGCGTCTTCAATTGCTACCTGCCATTCCTCTTTCCCACCTGGATCCTAACATACACAAAGCAACGCGCGAGGCATCGGGTGTCTTCCCTTTGCCAGGGCAGAAGCCTTGCGGTCAGCAAAAAGGGTTCAAGGCGTTTACCAACACATCCGACGCGGGTGGGGTTCAGTTCGAAATCCGGTGGGCACTCGCAGGTGTAGCTGCCTGGGATGTTGAGGCAGGTGCCGCTGATGCAGGTGGTCGGGTCTGCACATTCGTTGATATCTAGGTGGGAGAAAAGCCAACAGCACCCAGGGAGTGAGCCAAGAGCCACCACACCAGCCCACCGGTTACGCAAACAGCAGCAGCTGCATGCCAGGCTCAGACGCGCTGGCTCCAGCGGCCCTTTCCAAGGAAGTTCAGAAGAACCAAAGGCATTTTTCCCATGTCTTGAAGCATTTAAGCACCAACAGGCTTCAGGATCCCACGCAGTCTGAAGGTTATTTCACAAGTAAGATTCATACAGGCAATAGGAAAAAGTGGATAGCTTACATGCCTTAGTCCACATTTCTGTGCAAACGGAAACAGGCCTTTGCATTCTCATTTTAGGGTAAAGAGAAACAGTTTCCCATGTATCCATTCAAAAGTGGTTTGCAAAATGCCCTTCTGAAGGGCTGGAAAAGTCCATAAGAAGGGGATATGGAAATTCCCACCTCATGACTTATTTCGCTTTAATAGAAAAGATCACATGTTTGAACTCATTGAAAATGGATATCCTCAGTGAGAAGTGAGAACGTACTCAAATCAGTGAACTGCTCAAAATTGGAATAACTTGAAAAGAAAACCCGACCACATGAGCAGGACGTGCGGAGGTCCAAGCAGGGCCTAAAGGTGGGCTTTGGGTGAGCAAGGTCCAAGAACGAGGCCGACCCTCGTCCCTCCAACCGGCCAAACCACGGCGTTACCTGTGCAGTTGCCACCACTTCTGTCCAGTTCATATCCCGTCTCGCACTCGCATCGGAAAAGGCCAGGCAGGTTGTGGCAAGTCCCGTAGACGCAAATGTTGGGGAGAGTACACTCGTCAATGTCTATAAAAGAGGAGGAGGGGGAAGAGAGGGGAGGTGCCTGGATTACTTCCACAGGGAACAAGTGTGCAAAAGTGTTCAAAAAAGGGAGAGATGAAAATGGACGAGAAGCAAAACTCGGCAGCCACAACCGAACAGCATAAACAACGACAATCCAAGGAATCCTGGGGACCCACCCCTCTTTCATAGGGCAATGATTTGTATCTCTGGATCCACCTTCTCATCAGTGCACTTTCAGGACTGAATGAATGATAGTGGCTCACCTAAGGAGATGGGCATTAAATATATTTCCCAAAGGACAGGAGATGGGAGGGGAAGGCTAGCCATGTCCCTTGACCCTTTCGGTGTTCGTTTTGGGGGTGTTCTGGGTGTACATCCCAAACTCTTGGCTGGTTTCAGCCTATGCACTTTGTCGCCCTCCCCCCCATTCTTAACCATTGAGAAACATGCCAGCTCTTATCTGTACAATGTCACCTTTCTGTCTGCCTATTCCTGCCTTAGCTTGTTTCAGAGTCACAACACAAAACAACACTTCGGTTTAGATAGGATATTACATATATATTTGATTTCTCTCATGCTGCTCTTCATGAGAACACAGAACTGGTGTTTGCATAAAGTCTGCACAACGTTCTGTGGCTAACTGATGGGGTGCTGAAATATGACTCTGCCATGGGCCTGGTCGTGCACCCAACTGTACAACCGAGATGTGCCCTGGCACCTTGTCATTTCATTACAATTAGCTGCAACATATTACACAAACCTTGTGCAAACATCGATAAGGTTCCACCCCCGGTTAAAACGACAATTTCTACATGTCTAAATTATACAATCACAAAGTTACAATTGAAAAAAAATAAAGAATATAATCAGAAATTATTGTACATTTAAAATTGCAAATACCTAAAGCTGTATATTAAATGTTCTGCTGGAAACGTTGCAGGAGCAACAAACCCGCAGCAAGGATAAACTGAATACTTGATAGGAAGGGATTAATCCATAATAAATTGCTGCCCTAAGCTTCCTATAATTTTAACTCAGTATCTGTAGAAGCTGCTCAACACTTCAGAATTATGTCTAGATACAGGCAATCTCTCTCTCTTGCTCTCAGCCACAGAGGTGAAAGAACCGCGAAGGGAAAAGTTAGCAGAAGCCAAGGAGAAAGCCGCCCAGAGTAGACTATGTCTAGATGGGCGGCATATAAATGCAATAAATAAATAAAATAAATAAATAAATAAAGTCACTTTGGATGGCCTGTCAGACATGGAAAGACGAAACCCCAAGGTCCCAGAAGGGGACTCCTCTGAAGATGTGTCCTTAACTTAATTTTTTTAAAAAAATCCTCAGGAGGTCTAAACCAATCGTAACAGAGAATTTCTTAACTGCGCTGAGTTGTCAAATCAAGCTGAGTTACACCCTAAGCATTTTACCTTCACAAGCTTTTCCATCTGGACTTGGCAAAAATCCCATGTCACATTCGCAGCGATAACCTCCAGGGGCGTTTAAGCACTGACCATTTTCGCAGAGGTTCAAGTTTTCTGAGCACTCATCGATGTCTGGAAACAAACAAACACAAGCTCCATTGATGTGGATGCACGTTCTCTCCTCCTCTTCTTTATAAAAAGAACCAGCTCATGTCCAAGGCCCACGCCTCTAAACCTCTGCCATATCTACATCTTAAGAGCATTTGTTGCAATTTTCCTCCCGCTTCCCTTTTTTAAATTTGGAATCTTGCATCCCACAGGCGGAAGGTGGATGACCGTACTGACGCCTGAAATCTTATCTCACCACTGATGACAGAACAGCAGCCTCGACTATGAGCGAAGGCAGAAGGGCCAGCTTAAACTCGGGGCACATACGTACAGGGCCAGGCGCCTCTATCATCTTCCTCCCGTTGTTCCCCATCCCTTTGCTCGAACCAAGCAGAAGTGCCCATGGGTTGTTCCAAGAGAAAGCTCACCTGTACATGCGAACCCGTCCCCGGCGTATCCTTCTTTACACAGGCACCGGTACGAACCCATGGTGTTCTTGCAGTCTGCGTGTGGGCTGCACATGTGTGTCCCGTTGGAGCATTCATCTAGGTCTAAAAGAGGTGGGGGAAAGGCCCAAGCTTTTATCACTCTGGGCGTGCTCAAGCTAAAATCAGTCAAGGGGAAATAATGGCAGACAATTTGTGGGGCAAAATTTTGCTGCACACAAACACTGACAGTGGTCTGGCAACGGTAGCATAGACACGAAAGCTCTTAGGAGAGGTTTTTTTTTACTATGGCTTGGGTTCTCTGGCTGAAGATCCAGAGGTTGGGAGTTCGATTCCCCCACTGGGCCCCCTTGACAAAAGCTGGACCCGATGCTCCATAGGGTCCCTTCCGGCTCTGCACTTCTAAGATTATGATGATGATGATGATTATATAAAAATAGCTTTGAAACTTCCCCCCATTTCAAATGTTCTATGCTATGTAGCATGGAGGATTTCAGTTGGAGAAACAAAGATCTAGTACCTTGCGTTCATGGGCTGTGTTCCTTATTAGAACCCATTCCGTTCGTGCGTTAACCCCAAATTTCCAGATCTAACAGAATTCAAGTCTTCGAAACAGGCCGTATCTATTTTTATCACTACCCAAGCCATCTGATTATAAAAACGCCTTATTTTACAATTTACAAATGTCAGAACTGGTTTACGAAGAATTTAAATGCTAGCTATTGAAGCAGAAATGGTCAGTTCCTAACAAAAGATGCTGCCGTTAGGATGAGAACAATAGCTTTTCCTCTCAGGAAGGGAAGCGGAAGTAATTTTAAGTTGATTATTTGAAACGGGGAAAATGCTTATTTTAAGGCCTTCCAGACAACAGCGCAAGTGGCCCAAAGGAAGCAGGCGAATTTCCTTTTCCACAAGTTTTGAGGGAGGAGTAAGATAAACCACCGAAAGTGTCTGCTGGGAAGGCCTGTGCTGGTGAGGATGGTGGGACTTAAATCAGGTCAACTCTAGAACTGGGAAGCACCTCTTTCTTATCACTTAAAAAGGGGGAAAGTTTGCATAGGAAGCCAGCGAGGCCAAAACCATCGTTATGTTCAAAGGTTCAAAAAGCCATAGGAGCACCGAACGCCTCAGGACGTACCTGTGCATTTGATACCATCCCCAAGCCAGCCTGGGCTGCAGCTGCACTTGAAGCTTCCAGCTGTGTTTGTACATATAGCGTGGCGGTCACAGTTATGAGCCCCGACTTCACACTCGTTAATATCTGTGGAGAAGGGGAGGAAAAGGGGGTGGGGGAAATAAAGGTAAGCGTATTTGTTCAGCCTTATCTCAAATCTCTCGAGACACACCTTTTCCCCCTTAAACTGCTTTACTATTTGATACGCAACTGGGAAATCTTTTAAGGATCTGAGCCTCCTTGGACTGCAATTTGAAGCATCTCCAGCAAGGCCTAGGAGAGCGACACCCTCCTCTTGGCCTCCTTAGCGGCCTCCATTCTAATCCTGCACGGTTGGCTGAGTGTTGTGCAATTGCAGGGCTCCCTAGAGCCACCTGCTTTTGAAACCAAACCTTCAGTTACCAGACACGAACAAAAGAGATGAAATGAGGGAGATCGTGCAGAGGTGGCAGCCTCCTCCGCTGAACTCACATGTAAGTGGGGTTTTGCAGGAGGACAGGTCCTTCTAGGCTGCACAGCCCTGCAGCCCTTTCTCTCTACAAACCCACTTCTTTATTTCTGTGGGACCCAACCCTGGATTCAGGTGTTCCCGGTACGCGGACTCAACACATGAGAAGCATGCCAGTCCTTTTCCTTTTTTCTCTTGGCTTTGCTCACGCAAACAGTGACAGGTCGGTCCGTAGAGAAGAAAACCCTTGACCAATGGAATTTCTCCACGCCAGTCAGGACTCCTGATTCCCCTCCATCTTGGGAAGCGCTGAGAGTCTCCGTGGGCAGAAGAGGTTGTTTTCTTCATAGCAGCAAAGCAACAGGCTGGCATTTTGAGGAAACAGGCTTAAGAGGGCCTGAGCCAGGCTTGAGGCAAAGCTCCAAGGAAAAGCCCCACGTCTGATCAGCACACAAGGAGAACAGCACATCCAGCCTTCCAGGCGGACAAGAACCACCCTTCTTCCAGTATCTCACTTTTTATACAAGGGTTGCCTCAGTGCAGGGGATAAGTACGAGCACCCGAATAGCCACTGTGTAGCCACAGGTCCATAGCAGTCAGAGTCCTGCTCTCCGAGGGCAATGTTGGTTGGCTGGTTTGTCTGTCTGTCTGTCTGTCTGTCAAGAAGAGGGTGGCATTCTTGACTTGAACGAATTCCATGTTTCCAAATCTCAGTAGAGTTACCCATGGCCAACATAGAGTAACTGGAAGGCTTGCCTTATTTGGATTCTTGACCAACACTGAATTTTTAAGAATTTACAAAGGGTCTTTGTGTGACTATACCTTGTTACAGACAAGGTGTGTGTATGAGTGTTTTAATGTTAAGATAACCTTTCTGGGGAATCAGGAATGCATATGCTCAAAGGCAATGCTTCCAGATTGTATCTTATTTCCTAGTAATTAAAACAAATGTTTTTGGAATCTCTTGGTCACACACATACTGCCATATACATTTTAATAATAAAATGTATTACTCTTCTTCGTCCTTGGCCCCATTGGTCTGCCCATCACAGTAGCAGAACCAAAAATTGGCACTCCGTGACCAATCAAATCACAAGATGTTCCACAGCCTTTCTCATACATATCTTGCACAACTTTTAAATTGCTCTCTTTCCAAATGTGGAAACATCTTCTAAAGAGCATGACGGTTCCACCTTCTCGATTCCCATGGAATCGAAAGAAAATTTATCTTTCCACTCTCCAGCAATACAAAAGAAGAAAAGAGAAGAAAAGAAAAGGCCAGATTTTTTTTTTAAAAAAAAATCCTACCAAGTCTCTGGGATTCCTAGGACACCACTGTGAAGTAGGCCACCACTCAGCATGACTAAAGATACCCGAAATTAGCGCCAAAGGCAAGAGCCAAAGATTCCGTTGACTTCTGGACCCAAAAGAGTAAAGTGTCAAAGACTGTGTAAACACCGTCGTCGCTATCTTCCCGACCGCCCCTCCTAACCTTTGTTTCCTTGCAAAGATTCCCTTCAAGTATAAAGCTGTGGGAAGCCTACGAAAACAAACATTCCACTTCCTACTCTGTCTTCTGAGGCAGCTCATCTCTCCTTATCAAGACCCTGTGAGCCCTGGACTGTAATTTGCAAACCGTTCTCCCTCACACCCTCAGGAAGAAGAATGGCAATCCAATTCCTCTGATGCCAACCCAGAGCAGAGTTTCGGCCATTCTAAGCAGGTTGCCTGCAAAAAAAATCCTCTCCTTTAAAAAAAAAATCCAAGCTCTCCACCCTCATTTGTAAAATGAATTTGCTATCATAAAATGGGCGGTGGTGGGGAGAGGGGTTTTTGAGGCAGGTCTAACACGAGGGTGATTTTTGCTTGCTTTTCGTGCTTTTATGGGGGGCAGTCTGATAGGATTTTATTGAACTTTTAAAGCTAAATGTGGGTTCCTCTGTTTTTGAGTTTTTAAAGAAATTTATATAAAATAAAAATGTCTTTAGAGATATATGGCGAGAATTTATTGATTTTGTATTGACAAAGGGGAAGGGTTGTGTACCTCCGCAAAAGTCCATGTATTTTCGGAAGGGGAAGAGGGCTCTGCCCAGGGAAAGGAAAGGAAACTCTCTCCAGTGGTCCTGGGGTAGGGTGGGGGGCACCCTGTGAGCTATCTATGTTGTATTTCTTTAGATTTGTTTTTTAAGGCATGAGACTTGTTAAATAAAATTGAAAATCCAAAAGCGAAAAAGTTTTATAAGCTGCCTTGAGCACTATCTTTTAGTTGACAGGCAGGGCGTAAATATAATCAACAATCAATAATAATAACTTTATTGGACTACTAACGTCCTGAGGACAGTGACTCACTCTGGGTGTGGCAGAGTTTGGAGGAGAGGGGCAGATAAAGAGCATTGGAGATCCAGCCAACCTTCTCTTTCAGATAACTGAAAATGAGGGTGCGAACTCCACCCAGATTTCTGTCCTAGGTAATGTATATCTTTGGATAGAACAACAACCAAAAAAAAAAAAAGTTCCCTAAATTATGCTCAGATTCTGGCTAACAACTGAAGTGAAAACAACAACAACAAAAACATTAACATCTGTGTGCATTGGAACGGCCTGCCAATGGGGTGGATTACGACGCAGTTAAATGACTGGGGAGCACAGGGGGTGAAGGAGGGAAAACATGTTTACTTGTTGAAGTGGAAACAATCCATAATGACAAGAGGGCTGAAATATGTAAATGCAACTGTCAGAGAACTCAAAGGACTTGCTGTAGCTGTTCCCAGGGAACAAGAGAACTACTGTTCAAAGCTGTATACACATTTTTGCAATTCATTTTTCTTTTTCTGCTTTCCCCCCTTCTTTTTAAGTGTGGGTGCCTTTGGCAGGTCTGCCAGAAATGAAGAACGGATCTGTGCGGTCAGGCTGTTCGACACAAACGCGCACATTTGAATCCGGCCACGAAGCGCTATGTCACTGGGGTCTCCCGTCTGGGAATGGGAAACAGAGCTCCTGGCGCTCCGCCTGAGCCTCGGAAGAGGCTGCCGACCGACCGTGCTGCGTTATGACATTTCGACAAAGGAATTTGGACAGTGGGGATGAAAGGAAGAGCCCCTCCTCCACGCCCGTCCCCTTTCCAGAGGCAGCTGCAAATACATTCAGGCAAGCAGGAAAGAGCGCCCGTCCTGCCCAATAACTCCCCAAGTGCTCAGCTGACTCTTCGGACAACACAAAGAAGAAACAAAGATATTTTTCTCAGGGAGAACTAACTGCACACTGCCTAGGTTCGCCTTCTGAAACAGGGCAAAGTATTTAAAAGGACCTGATGCTTTCACAGCTCAAATCCCCATCCTAGCCTGTACTTAGAGCCCGGTGACACTGGCAGCTGGAAATCCATCCTTGCTTTGCAGCTAACCAACTGACCACCGCCTGGACAACTGCCCGATCCTTATACCCCTGGACCATCTTGCCCGTGTCCTGACTCCTCCATGGTATCTTTCTATCTCCTGAAGCTTTTGAGCAAAATAAGCAAGTGCATTTCAGGGAGGCACTCCCAGGAAAGCAACGCCACCTCCTTTCTCTGCTGCAGCAAACAGAGGTTCATATTTCCAGGAGGGCGTTAAAAACGGGACTCAAGCAAATCCTAAGCAAGGGCCTTAATCCGTTCAGATTCAAGAGGGTGGGTGGACAAAAGAGCATATGAGTGGAAGCCCAACTTCTAAAACAAATAAGAGCAGGTCCCCTCTGAAGGATCAGTCAAATCTTACGTCAACCCTCGTGTTTTGATGGCCCAACTCTACTTGGAAATAGCAATGAGATTCAGGCGTTGGAGCTTTGTTAAAATTACAGAAACACCCCAGTAACCAATCTTTGGAAAACTATGGGATTCAGACTTCCAAGACTCTTTCGCTATAACATTCAGGAGGGCACTGTGTAGGGCAAATGTTCCCCATGTTCAAAGCATCTTGTTCCTGGAAAAATGACATGTTAGAGGGAAAGATTCTATCCTACCACTATTTTTTTATATATGCTAAATCTTCAATGTGTCAGAAGTTCTCTAAGCAAACGGTCAATTCAGACGTGATATAGCCACATTTCCATGATCTAAAATGGCTTATTGCCATCTTCCTGTGCCTTTTCTGAATATTTAGATCTATCTGCACCATACTGGAAAGTTGGTCCAAAAGTTAAAGTTAAAACTAAGGTTCATTTAGGTCCACACTACTCCTAAAGTATACTTGAAGGAATGTAGCTGTCACTAATAAACAGCAATACATGATGTTCCCACACCGTTTGCACTGAATATCTGTTTTATAACATTAATTTCAGTTTCTCATCAGAAGTGACTTATTGGCCTCTCACTCGAGCCTGTGCAAGTTGTACTTGTTCTAAACCTGCATTCTTAAAAATCAAATTAACCATAAGCTTGAGTTCATATTTTAAGCATTAGCAATGATTTGGAGCACCTTGGCTGAAATGCCAACTTCCTGCATTATTAATCCGATGCTGCTCCAACTCTGTAAATTTGTACTTCAGTGTTTTTTTGGCCGGTAAACTGCATGAAAATCCTACGGGTTTTTCTTTTTTTCCAGAACACCTTGGTCTAATTGAGTTAAGTGAAAGATCTATACTGCTGACACTCTGACAGCACGAGAAAAAGAGAGAGAAAAAACAACCCAAACATTGCAGTGCCTGCCAAGAAACCACTGGGAGGAGAGAGTCTGCCGTTTGCAGACGCTGCACAGGGCGACTCAACCCTAAGCTTCCAGGGGCTTGTGGACGAGGCCCTTGGTGGTCATGTCATGGCGTCGTGAATGTATGCACTGTGTGTGCTGGTTAGGTCTCGCTCACAACTGGGAGTGGTGCCAGTTGCACGGATAGGAGAAAACCCAGCGCCGAAGCCTTGCTGGAGGAAAAGGCAGGTCTCACGTTATACCCTTCCAGAAGCAGGAGACCCCACGTCTCTATATTTGTAGGTGACTTGTGACCAGAGCAGTAGAGCACCCCTCACAAATACTGTCTGGAGCAAAGCACCCTTCCTCTTGGTCCGTGAGCTGCCACTAACTCCAGGGGTGAAAATGGAGGAGCTAAGCCTCGGCTTCCATTGGCCAAAAAGTATATCTCTTATAATCTAGCCGGACCAATGAGCAGCGCAGAGAACAATGGATGTAACACACAAAGGAGTTTGGCAAATCATGGTAGCGCATCATTGTTCAATCAACAAATGCCTGTTAACCCATTAAAATGTGCACCCACGCACACACACAACATACCTGTGCAACCACAATGGATGTAACACACAAAGGAGTTTGGCGAATCATGGTAGCACATCATTGTTCAATCAACAAATGCCCATTAAAATGTGCACCCATGCACACATACAAACATACCTGTGCAACCGGTTGTCCCTTTCTTCCCAGAATATCCCAGATCGCAGTGACAGATAAAGGAGCCTTTTGTATTCTCACAACTTCCACTCAGACAGATATTGGGGTTCAGTTCACATTCATTAACATCTGCAGAGGGGGGAGGAGAAGGGTTGATATTTGTAAGATCTTTAAGAAGTAAATCTTCAGATGCCATTTCGGTTACATGTATTCATACCTAATGTTATAAACAAGGAAGCAAGTGTGAAATTTCGGCAGGGGAAAGCATATTGTTTGGGAAAGCTGCTTTCGGGGTGGGGGGGGAGAGGCTGGCGCTCTTCCTCTCCTGGCACTTTGATGGGGGAGGGGGATCCTGCAGGGCTAAGTTCTGCGCCTCTGACTCGACCGGTCAGAACCTGCCACAGGTAGAGGCCGGTCTCCTTCCCAGGTCCGGCAAAGGTGAACTCAGTCTCAACAGGCTGAAGGTTCATCCCACGGGAATTTGATCATCATCACAGTTTGGATGCGAACAGAAACAGGCCACAGATAACGTTCGGGAGAGCCATCCCCTTCGAGCTGCCAGTGTTTGCTACTATGACATCTCTCCTCCTCCATTTAGCAGCCCCAGATTGCAATTCTTACATTCTGCTTTCCTGAGTCCAAACCATGCAATGTTGAACAAATATGGCCTACACTCTGAACATAGTCTGCCTCATAAAAGGAACTGTCACCTAGCAGGGTTTCAATAACTGAGCGTTATGTGGGGCATCTGCAGCTTCTCTGTTGCTTAGAGCCAATTTCAAGTCTGAAAAGTTCAGAATAATGCTTCCTGAATTCCGGCTCACTTTATAAGCCTTTACCTTTGGCGGTTTCCATATTCACAGAGTCTTTCTTAGCCTACCTCAGGTTATTCCTTTTAGGAGGAAAAAGGCCTAGAAACTTGCTGAAACAGTGTTCACTCTTGACAGGGACAGCATGCATAAATTCAAGATCACAATTGAGAAAGTGCATGTTGTCAAACATTTCCGTTTTCTTTTCTGCTTTTCTCTCTAGTCACTCCCTTGAAGTAGTAAAACTCTGTTTCTCCCCCTCCGGGCACATGCCTTGCTAGAAGACAGAGAAGGTAGTAATGAGATTAAGATCACAGGTTTTCCACTTGCCTAAACAGGTTTTCATGTCTTCGGAGGTCATGAAGCCGTCGTAGCAAAGGCACCTGTACTCTCCAGGTATGTTGGTGCACTGACCCCCGTCACAGATGTGAAGGTTGTCTTCACATTCATCAATATCTGAAAGGAAAAGTGGCAAATACACCTTGAAGTTAGTTGACTCTCAAAGCTATTTTTTTCTCCTGACTCACACTTCGACGACAGCTGTTCTTAACACACAGGGGGTGACATCCCACCTCTTACCGTGTTTCCACAAAAATAAGATAGGGTCTTATACTAATTTTTGCTCCAAAAAAGCATTAGGGCTTATTTTCAAGGAATGTTTTATTTTATTTTTCATGTACAACAATCCACATTTATTCAAATACAGTCACTTCTTCTTCTTCTGGTTGCTGCACAGTGGTGGACGGCGGGGTTTCACTTAACTGGGGCTTATTTTTAGGATAGGGCTTAGATTACGAGCATTCTGAAAAATCATACTAGGGTTTATTAGCAGGTTAGGTCTTATTTTTGGGGGAAACAGGGTAGATACTTATCAACACACAAAACCCTGTCCCTTTTGTCTTGACACCCTAGAAAATGCAAAATATGGCTAAAGCCAATAATGAACCACAACTAGAATAGCCTTCACATGCACTGCTAATCCTTTCTTAAATCACATTAATCTCATAGGTCTAACTCTAGATGGGACTAGATATTCCCCCCCCACCCCTATACTGTGATCCCTTTTGAGCATTTTATCCCCATTTTTTTCTCCGGGAGATAACTTCCCAGAATTTAACATTACATTTTTTCTCTCTGCGTCTATTCTTACAATCAGTGACTGAGGACTGACTTAAGGCACAGAAGATTCCAATGTTTTTCAGCCACAAAGCTGCCTTAATTTATTGTAAGTTGTTAGAAGCTCATGGTGTTGCAAAATAAATTCTTAGGACTCCTCGTGGTTTTTCTTTTTTGTCCCATTCAGGACCACCAAAATATTAGCAGAGAGCCAAGACTTTGCTTGGTTACTCAAAGGAAATATTTGCAAAACAAAAGAGCTTTAGCCCAGCGCCTCGTCCCTTTGGAGGGAAAGGGTGTAACGCTCCAGGAGATGAGTCCATTGTGGCTTTGAGGAATGATGTAGCTGCAGAAAACTTAACTCATATTCACTGCTGAGTCCAAGAGTTTTTAGACCATTATTCACGTTGGTGTTCCTGGCTAACACCAAACAAACATAAAGTGTTCTAACTGTTGTTTTTGAAAGGGGGTGCAACCTGGAAGATGTCTGATGTTGGCGACTGCTCTCTCTCTCTCTTTTAATCCCATGATGTTATCACACTCAGAAGCAATTTATAACGGGAGCCTTCTCTGAGCTGATATGCAAAAGAAGTTATCTGCAGGCCATAAACAAAAAGTGTATTCCAAGAAGTGCTGATGGCTAATTTGAAACATGGGATGATGGCCACCCCCTTTTGCATTCCCTCCTCTGTAAGAGATGCAGGATCCCCAGGATGGTGTAGTAGATAGAGTGACGGGCTAGGACTCTGGAGAAAACAGGGTTCGAGTCCCTGCTCAGCCATACAAACCCACTGGGGGAGCGGAACGGGTAAAACCACTCCTTAACAACCTCACCAACCTTGAAAACCTTATTAGCATCACTAGACGTAGGTTCTGACTCGAGGGCACAGAATATGCAACTGCCGGGCGTAGGATCATCCTTTAAGCATCCCACGGCCGCAACAAATCTGTTGCCCTTCAAAGTGTGACAGGAGCCTGGTTGTTACTGCTCATCTACACAAAGACTCACACGGCCATTGCAATTTACCATACCTTGTGTTTATGTCACAAGGAGGGAAGATCAGTCTTTTGACCTCATTTTTTCTTTATTTTTCTTTTAAGGTGCCCCCGGATAGGATGCCAAAGACACCTGTTATTTCCCATCCGCCCCTGAACCGTTTCATCACTTGCTTCTCCTTATTCTTGGATGAGAAGCAAGGGCCACAGGATGGGACACTCAAGAGAGGGAGCACTTGTTTTCCTCTGTGCCGAGCATCAATGTCTAAGACAGCAAGGATGTGAGGGTCACTCTTTCCTCTGCATTATGCTCTCGCTGTGCTGGGTTTATGTAAAACCGAGATGATTTACTCCTTCTTCAGTCACACTTCTGACCTTGACTTTGACCGAGGGTCGTCAAAAGCTAACTCTGCTCAACCACAGGGTATCAGGAAGAGCTTGACCACCTCCGTCAGTACAAATGCTCACATATTTCCTTTACCAGTGCAAGTCCTGTGGTCTGGCATGAGGGCATATCCCGGTCTACAGCTGCACTCGTAGCTGCCTTCCGAATTCGTGCAGAAGGTGTCACAGCCCCCGTTCATGATGCTGCATTCATCGATATCTACAAAGGAACAAGGAAGTGACCGTGTCAAGTGATCTGACATATTTCCCAACACCTCTAATACTGCCGAAAGTCCAATGCTCTTGATCTCTTTTTGGACCAGCCCTGGACCAAACCGCACGTGCACAAAGCAACGCCTTGGAATAAAAATAATTCTAAACCAGGGAATCAAAGAACCAAATGTTGAAATGTCAGCCTTAACATTGAAAAGGAAGAACAGATCCAACCTCTTGGATAGGTTTATTGGTTTTATAAAGCACCCTGTGTCCATCAGGGAAGACAACGACCACCCTAAGGGCCGAATCCAGCCCGCCAGGGGCTTCAGCTGCCCAATGGAGTTCTTCCGGCTCCCGTTTCCCAGGCCTTCAGAACAGAGGCAGAGCCCTACGAGATCGGCTTCACTTCCCCATCGCAAAGTGCCAACCAAGGACACCTGGCTTTACTGCAGCTTCGCTTTCCTTGTGCTGAGAAGGTTGAAAGAGAGGAAACCCCCACACACATTCACACGGCTTTCTCGGAGCCACACAGGGCCCAGAGGCTGGGGCTCAGCCAGGTCTCCAAGTGCTAACTTGGTGCGCTCTCAGAGGAGTGAACCAGGAGACCTTTCGAGATCACGCACCCATTCTCAAAGCTCCCATCAGCAGGGCAGCTTGAGAGATCAGGGGCCATGGCTGTTCACCCGGGTCTCATCCAAGGTCAGGAGAACAGCTAACGTTCAACCCCAAGCGGGCCCTCCATCCCTGGCGCAGATGCCCTACGAATCCCTGCCATAGCTGGTTACAAATCAGGATACGTGGAGATAGTCTGGAGACCAACTTTGATTCCTTGGGACCTGGGGTGGGACACGAAATGAAGGGTGTGGCATGCGGGGGGGGGGAGTGCGTTTTCCCACCAAAACCTGGCAGTGGTCAGACCTTTGCTTGCAAAAAGCAAGGCTGTGTATTGAAGGGGAACAGGGTCACTCAGAGAGAGGGGAAGGACAAGAAGGACAAGAAGGACAAGCCGCACTCTTCAGGACTGGGGTTGCCACTTAACTACAACTGACCCGAGAGAAGAACAACTTACCAACACAGAACAACTTGTCCGGTGTGGACTGATATCCCGGGTTGCAGGCGCACTGGTATTTCCCAATGACGTTGATACAGCGCCCGTTTCTGCACAGGTTCACGCTGAGCTGACACTCATCAATATCTGTTTGAAAGAAAAAAGAAGGAAGCCTTTCAAATCCCAACCCACAGCCGTCGCCTCCCACCACTGCCGCAGGAATGTCGCCAAGCTGAAGCTGCCCCCCCCCCGTGTTGCCAAAGCGCAGGGCGTTACTTAGGTCTGCGACAAGATCAGGGACCAGAGAGAAGGGTGTGTCAGAGGCAGCCACCGAGAGATGGGGAAAGGCCCTGGGCTCCAGGTTACGAAAGCTGCCCCGGGTCCAGCCGCTGTTCTTTGGCAGAGGAAAGCCGCCCTCCCTGCCAACCTGTGGGAAGCGATGCCAGGAACCGTAAGCCAGATTCCAGTCTAAGAATGTTCCGACTCAGAAAGGTGAAGGGAAAGAAAGCAAGAAGAGGACAGCAGCATTTCAAGCCGAATCTCAGGCCGGGCTGTGCCTCACTCAGGACCCCCAAAGGCTCCCGGTGAATGGGCAGAGGCTCAACACACACCGGGGAAATTTTTGGAGGGCTCTGAACTTGTGTTCACCTCTGAAACTGCAGGCAGAGGGGTGAGGGACCCTTTAAATGATGCACTTCACCCTATTTCTGCCTGTTCATAGAATAGTTCCCCATGGGGTTAAAGGAAAGCCTTACTCTCTACGGGCTAATTTTTTAAGGACAAACGTGATTTCACTTAATTTTCTTTTAGATTTGACAAGGAAAACCCACCAGGTGTCAGTTGTCATCCCTTCAAAATGATCGCGTAAATGTTCTCTGGAGAAGCAGGGACTTGGGGAACACACCCAAGATTTCTCTGTCTGTCTTTTCCCCAGGGATCTTCACTAAACGGAGGGGTGCAGGCCGTCCCGATCTCTGTGCTCTGGGGAAAGTCTGGCTATCGGGAACAACACGCTTGAAGAAAGAGGAGTTCTAATCCGGTCTTTGCACCGACACTTTACGTAATTTTCATCTGTTTCTGGTGTCTTGGGTAAACGGGGCTTTGGAAAGTACCCCGAGTTTTGGAAAGACAGCAAGAAAAGCCACCATGGACTGCAATGACGTCCAGGTTTGTCAAGATGCGTTGACGGCAACCACACTCCTTGAGCCCTGCCTCACAGAGGGTGTGAAATCAACACCAAAAATCAAGGGGAACCTAGGGAGAACGTTGAGAATTATGCTGCCCCCCTCGCTGGTCGCCCAACGCGCTAGAGCGCACTGAGCCACTGCAGGCCCGCTGGTAAGAAAGGAAAAAACTGGAAAACAGGACACGGGATGGCCGCCAATGGGGGGCTTTCCTTTTTTAAAACACATCTGCTCCTCCTGCACCCAAGTGCAATGCGGGTTGAACAATACTGACCCGCCCTACGGCTTCTTGTAAAGAGGATAATGAAATAATGGATCTGGAGAGCACTGAACATTTGAAAGCGTTGTGCGGAAGTCATGTTTAGCAGTTGGTTTCCCGAACCTTAGAAATCTGGAGTTTCAACAGCCATACCAACGAAGAACCATCATGGTTCTCAAGGTCCCAGTAAATGCTTCCTGGCCTGGAGTACAGGACGGGACCTCCATGCCTTATTTACGATGATCTGGTGGAAGGCCAAAGAGAAGCGCTGCACCTACAGCCACGCCAACGGAGCAGACGGACGGACGGCTACTGGTGATGCACAAAGTCAAGGCCATGCGGAGGTGGGGAGCTGAGAATGGAGCGGATGCAGGGGGGCCATTTCTGCCACCTTACCTACGCAGGCGGAGATGTTTGGAGACAACTGATGCCCTGGAGGGCAGTCGCACTTGAAGCTTCCTTCGGTGTTGATGCAAACCCCACCTCGACACAGCAGAGGGTTCCTCTCGCATTCATCGATGTCTGCAGAAGCAACCCGAAAGGGCGGAGGGGGGGGCAGGGAGGGAGGAAGGGAGGGAGGGAGAAGCAAACACATTAGAGTTCTTAAAATTTCAGCAGGCCAGAAAGGTAGAAGCGGTGGACCTGTGCCAAGACTTAGCTCGGCCTCTGGAGCTCTGCCCGCTAGCCACTGCCTCCGTCTCCTCCTCCGTGTGTCCCTTCCTCTCCTGCCAGAAGTGGTTCTCGCCGCCTCCCAGCTGTTGCACTTCCTTCCCTTCCCTGTGTGTAAGAGCAGAGCGCAAGAGCCAGCCTCGGTCCCTCTTCCCAAGCATCTCAGCCCCTGCGCCCAGAGAGAGTCCTCACAACGACACAACCTCCCTAGCCCACTGGGTTCTTCTTCTACATCCTTCTGACGCAAAACTTTTTTGGACAGTCAAAGGGCCAAGCTAAAGCTGTTGGTTCCGGACCAAAGATACAGAGAGAGGCTGATGGGCAAGGCTGTGGCAAGAATCTGGACAGGAGTCTCCTGGTTTACTGAATGCCCCACGCCCTGAGATCAGGCGACACAGGGCGAGTCAATCTAAGAGCTAGACAAAGGGGCAAATGCCAAAGAAAGCTGGGCAGGGAGAAAGAATAAGAGGATCCCTCTGCCAAGAACACAGATCCATTGGGGGCTGAAGACAACAAACCCAATCAGTCGCTGTCACAGTTAATGCCATAGTGGCCAGTGGCCTGTTCAGTATTTACAGGCAGGCAGAGCTTTACCTGCCTCAATGGCCGTGGTGACCCAAAGAGGTGTTGGCTGCCCATCACCAGGCCCATGAAGGACACCTTTTTAACCCACCACAGAAGCTCTCCGTGAGTAAATACGGAACACAACAGCGGCTCATTAGTAAAAGGCAGAGAGGATCTAGATCAAGGGGAGGGAAACCAAGTGTGTGACAGAGTAACTCATTACATTGCTGCCTCTACTCCACCTTCCTTTGGGGCTGGGGGAGTGAATAACAGGGACGTGGCAGCACTGTGGGTTAAACCGCAAAGCCTCTGGGCTGCGAGATCAGAAAACCAGCAGTTTGAATCCACACGGCGGAGGGAGCTCCCATCGCTCGTCCCAGCTCCTGCCAAACTTGCCGTTCGAAAGCAAGTCGATAAATAGGTACCACCTCACTGGTAAGGTCACAGCGTTCCATGTCTAGTCACGCTGGCCACATGACCACAGAAACTGTCTACAGACAAATGCTGGCTCTACGGCTTGGAGACGGGGATGAGCACCGCCCCCTAGAGTCGGACATGACTGGACTAAACGCAAAGGGGAACCTTTACCTTTACCTAAGTTAATTACATAAAACGTTTTGGGAAAAGTCTGTCAAAATAGCTCTAAAAATGCTTTGAAAAATAAGTTTTTAAATATGGGAAGAAAACAGGATTCATTCCATCAGAAAAGTAACTTCATCCAAGCAGACTACAACTGCTTTTGCAATGTAACTTCATTCCAGCTTTGTTACCATCACAAAAGTCATGCAGTTACTTGATCCTTTTTTTACTTCCAAGCTCTGCTCCCTGCCTTCGTTATGGTCCTGAGGTGATCCTGGGCTCTTGAGGGACACACCAGACAGGGTTTAAACTTTGGCAGAATCTACCAGAGGCATAAGAATCTGAGCAGAGCCCAGGGATATAGCATGGAGGGCTGTCTCAGCACCAAGATCAGGGTACGAAATGGCCCAGAGAGCCGTGCATACACCAAGGACACTGCAAATTGTCAGAGCAGGTACATATTTAAAATTTAATCACTGCAACTATTTTCACAGAATTGGTGTATGAGGGGAAACCAGTTTAAACTTCAGCTCTCAGGCTCACTGTCTTTGAGTGACCATAAAAAACCTCAAGAGACTTTCCGAGGTTATGGAAAGAAACAGATGAATGCCCGGGTCATTATTCAATATACGCAAACTCTTCACAATTTAGATTTAAACAGAAATATAAGACGTGAACTCCCCTATGAGAGTGTTTTCTGCTGTTTTGATGAGATGAAGAAGGGAAGGGAAGATCCCTCGTTCTTCATCTCCCAGTGATGGAACAGCAAGGAAAGTGAACTTGGCCATATTCACGTCAAGGTGATATCATGGTGTGTTATAAAAGCTGTTCCTAATCAAGGCTAATCATAGGAGGGCAGGTACTGCTGAAATCTGGAAGATGGAAAACTTGCGGATGAGCTAAGAACCCCATGTCGCTTGTGAACTGCTATTATTTTTTTAAAAAATTATTAGATTTCTTCTTGGGTTGAAACCAAAGATCTCACTTAGGGACCAGCCTTCAAATCAAGCTAAGTAAGAACAGTTACTTTTCATTATTTTAAAGTGAAGCTTCTCACAGCACAAAGCCCTACAAATGCACAGTATTTTGGAACAACATTCTTTCCAGTTAAACAAAAACGAAGCACTAGCAATATTTAAACCATACGTAAGCCCTCCACCCATCTTTTGAACTTCAACGGTTCAAGACAATCTCCCTACAGTATTCTCAAATCTGAGCTGAACTAATGAGGTTTTGCACTCGTGATTCGGAGACCTCACCAGAATTAAATTTGTGCCTCGATGCAAATGTGCCTCGAGTAACATACCCATGCAGTTTTTCATCATCATAAATCCACTTTCGTAGCCCTCGAAACAATCGCAGTGGAAGTCTCCGGGGGTGTTGACACAAAGCCCTTGGCCACAAAGGTCTGGAGAGATGCGGCATTCGTCAATATCTGCAATTGGAAAGGGGGAAAAGTTATTTCGAATCCAAACGTATATACAGTAAGTTTTTAAAAAAATAAAAAAAGAAGTACATTTGTTAACAATCATGTAGTAGAATGAATATCGTTTTAGATTTCAGAAATTCAATTCCGGCACTTTATGTGGACATTGTGAGTTTTTTCTTGGATGTCCTTTCCCGGAGTCTCTGGCCTCCCCTGAACTGTCAAGGAATAACATGCCGAAGGCACCCTGTATAAACCACATACTTTGCAAGCCAAGGTATTTACCTGTACAATTCCTCTCTTCTGAATCCAGCGCAAACCCACTGTCGCATTTACACCGGAAGCTGCCGATTGTGTTTCTGCATTTTCCATAGGTGCAAAGTCTTGGAATCATTTTGCATTCATTGATATCTAAAACAGAAGGATTTGTATTAAAAAGACAACAGTAATTCAATATAGTGAACCTTTAATTCACAAAAAAAATCACAGGCATAAATTAAAAAAAACTTTTTAAATAACTGTGCTTCAGTGGATTCAATATACACATTCAAATGATTGTAGCATTTAGCCTTCATACAGCAGCGTGTAGTATCTGTCAAACTCTTCTGTTCACCTGAAGCTGAACTATCTACCTATACACCACATGGCATTCCCCCCCCCCATGTCTATTTCACTATAAAAGCATGTTCTGCACCTCCAGTAATGAAGTGGGGAGCCTGCCAAGTTGCGAGCTTCTGAGCAGCTGGCACTCATCTCTTGGGCTCTGTTTTCCTCTCTGTATATGAGGACTAGAAACTTAGGCTTTCCATCCTAAAAACAATCATCATTATCATCATGCGCTGTCAAGTCAACCCTGACTTATCGTGGCCCTTTCCTGGGTTTCCTAGCTATTGAGTACTCAGAGGCGAGTTACCCTTCCCTTCTTCCGGAGCGTGGCCCCAAAGCTGTGGCCAGCTGGCCCAAGGCCACCCAGGCTGGCTCTTCTCCCTTGAAGGCACACTGGGGGACTGAGCTCCACAGCTAGATCCCTAAACCACTGTATTTCACAGGGCAACAAACAGGGACCCTGCATGTTCTGTCCCTCTAGTTTCTAGGGCGGTGCTGGTAGGGTCACGATCCTCCTCCTCTTCTTTTTGTCTCCTTGTGAAAACCAGCACCTTACCTCCTCTGGTCATGATTCACAAAGGATTAGTTAATTCATTGGGGAAAATCAGCCTTTGTGCTGGGCACAACAACTGGCTCTTTAAAGAATTCTCTTTCGCAGCCAGTTTCCTTGTCTTAAGTCTCATCATGTTCCACTCTTCGAAAAGGCAAGCGGAGAAACAATCACCACGGGGACTTTTACAGGCAGCCACTCCTATTCTGAACCATCAGGAAGCCATGAATCATAAACCGTTCCCTCCTGCTCCTTATCCCCCCGACTCCTTTCCATCCTGTGTGGGCTTTGCAAAGACACGGCAATCATCTCCACATGCTAAGCGCTGGCTTTTCAGAACCCAACACAACCATGAAAGAGAGTTGGGCATTCCTTCCCTCCGCGTGGAAATAAAAGCCCATTTGTCCCAGCGCGTGGGGTGACCCGTCCTCCCCAAACGACGCAGGAGGATAACACAAGGAGGCGAAGAATCAGGGAACAAACAAGAGATGCTACAGGGCTCAGTGCCGTTTTCCAACTACTCAGCAGGACGAGGGAGAGGAAGCTAAATAAAAGCTCCAAGAATGGACGGATCCTCTTCGAGCTTCGTCTTTAAAAATCTGACAACAGCTGCATCCAGCCATCTAGGGATCAATGTTCAACCACAGGAACTCCACACTCCTACCCTAAGGGCACCCACCCATGCAGGAGCTGTGTGGCTCCCTAGCCACAAGCTGGTCCTAAACAAACACACACACACACACACACACACACACACACACACACACACACACTTGCAAACCAAAGGCCGCGGCTTCTTTTATTAAGTCAATCCATCTCTTTATTAAGTGCTACCTTCATTTCACTAAATCCTGCTTATGAACATTAAAAAGAGAAGAAAAGTAAAAGGACTGGCAGAAATGTGGCTCCTTACCACCCCCATGAAAGCAACCTCCAGTTCGGACCTAAGTAAAGAAGGAGGCAGTCGTCCCCAAACGCCTGCACTTTTCTCAGCTCAGCCTACCTTTGAAAAAGGGTTTCCCGTTGATGATCTCGCCTCGGGTGGAAAACCCCGGTCCTCGCGGGCAGAGAGCTTCGTACTCCGGGGTTCCCTTCGAGGGGCACTCGTCGCAGTCCGGGCCCCAGGCGGCACCCACCGAGCAGCAGCAGGCGTCCAGCCGATGCCGCCCTCCAATCGGCGAGGTGCAGTCTTCGTCATCGTGTTTCAGATAGCAGGTCTCCAAACGGATATCTGTTGGAGAGGTTTCAGTCGTCAAGCGTTTGGAAAGGCTGCCCTCACGACAACAGGATAACTAAAACTACCCACCCAGGGAAAACGTTAAAATGCAGAAATAAAGGGTCCGAGTAAAGGATTCCATGAGATGGGTCCAGCTTTTCCATTGGAGACGGCCCGTCATTAGAGCTACAATCACGTTAGTATCGAGAGCTGTCACTGAGGCAGGCTTTCGTGTCTTAAGGACTCAGACATACAAAGGAACAACGTGTTCATAGTCTGAAGATCCAAAACATACCCACACGCCCCCCCCCCAAAGAACTTCATTTTCTAGTGAAAGGTTATCTGTAACATATAATCATAAATTCCTGCATGGAGCGAGAGTTGGACTCGAATGGCCTTATACTTCCCTTCTGACTCTATTATTCTATGCCCAGAGGGGGTCAAGCTAGACGTTTAAGGGGAATTAAATGTCTAAGCTTTTTAATGTTAAATGTCTAGCTTATCTCTCGAGGTATATGTCTCTCCTACAATTTTCCCCTTTCCTCTCCCCTACAATGAGATTTCATCAGAAAGGCATGATTCAGTAACGAAGCTTTGCAAAACAAAGCACGCTAAATGCAAGAACGTAAGTAAGGAAAATTAAGTGCGATGGCAAAGAGCCACCCTTTCTCACTAGGAGGGCCACTTCTTCTAAAGATGGACTAAACACATTGTCTAGTTTGAGCCTGGTGTTCTTTCTCCTTCAAAGGTTACTTGGGTCACCGTCCACATACGTGGATGAGCAGGAGAAGAACCTGCACAAAACAGAAGCCTGGCTGAGCTTTCGGACTCTGGGGTTTGAACCACAGTTGTCCAGATGAATGCTTCAGCCACTGAGCCCTTACCGATACATCTTCGTCCGGTGGCATCCAAGGTCATTCCACTGGGACACTGGCAGACAAAGGATCCCAAAGTGTTGATACAGACGCCATTTGTGCACACCCCAGGAAACACGTCACACTCATTGACATCTGTTTATGCAATTAAAAAAAAGGGGGGGGGTTAGCAAAGTCACAGGAAAGTCTAATGCTTCCATCATACTAATGCTCTACAAACATAAGAAAAGAACATTAACTTTGGTTTTTATGTGGTACCTTAGGGGTTGAAGTGGTTTACCAACTATTTTTGAAGCCCAAATAAAACTATAAGACATATACTTTGGGCTGGGAAGAGCCTAAGGAGACTGAAACGCATAATTCTTGCAAGAGGTTGTCCAAAGAACCCCACACACTCCTCAATTGTTTTTCCTTTTAAGAAGTGTGAGATTAACTGTGCTTCTCCATAAAGAGGATTAGCTTCCTCTGTTTACAGCCTGGAGAACACCTTTCCATGCTATATACTGATAGTGAAGTCTGGAGAAGGGAAGATTGAGAGGCAATATGAGCGCCAGCTTCAAATAATCAAAGTGTTCTTCCTCGGAAGAGGGAGGGAATTTGTTCCCTGCAGTCCCACAGGGCAGGACCCCAAGTAATGGTTCTGAACTATAGAAAAAGGAGATTGCAACTCAACATTAGGAAGAACTTCCTAACAGTGAGAGGGGTTCGACAGCGGAATGGACCACATGGAACACTGGAATTGCTTAAACAGAGGGTGGACGGCCATCTATCAGAGACCTTTTAGGGGTCTTCCCACTTTGGCAGGGGGCTAGACTGGATGACCTCGGTGGTCCCCTCCAGCCCTAGTCTATGACTAAGAGAAAGACAGCCACATGGGCTAAAATGGCAGGACATTTCTGAGATGGTGACAGGGAGACAAATAAAAATAGTTAGAAGAGCAATCAGAGGTACGGACTGCTCCAGGGTTCCACAGACATGGGCTTGTTTGTTTTTTTCCCCCCTTATTGGTCAAACCTGCAAATACAGCAACCAAGTTACTACGGTAAGTGGCACCAGCTGATATCATGCTGGAGTTACATATGCAACCATCAGAATTATTGCCAGGTTGAATCACATTCTGTCCATATGTAAGAAAATATCAAGAGCGCATGAGAGATATTTTGGATGCGCTAACTGATCCCTATGTGAAACCACTGTCCAGCTGGATTGCTGGTTTTTTTAAGCCGAGGCACACAGAATATCAAAAATCTTGAAAATTCTGCAGCTACTATCTTGGAAAAACAGCTTCTCATCTCTGAGAACCAAAAAATGTCCAGAATATTCCCTTGTGATTTTGACCGGGTGGAGCAACTTTTGAGGTCAGATTATATGGTGCATACCATGGATCTGAAGCCGAAAAGAGGCCAAAAGATTTTCTCATTCCTTGGAAAGCAGGGCAAGTGATTAGAGGCAAGGTTGCCGAGGAGTGCGGGAGAAAGGCTGTTCCTCCATAGTCTCTCTCTCTCTCTCCCTCTTCATTATTTTTTTAATGTAATTAAACAATACATATGGGAATCGTTTGTTTTTCAAATAGCTAAGCTGCTGTGTCATGTCAGGTTGTGTTAGTCACGCTGACCCAACATGCTGTGAAGCTCTTGGGAGGATTTTGGTGGCAGGACTTTGGCTGTCATTGAAACACAAACCATTCCTCCATCCCTTACGACACCTCCGGCTACAAGGGACCTTTGCAAACAAGAAATAACTGGAAAAAAGTGGCCAGTGTCGGAATCAGGAGGGATCACCCCAGCAAAGCAGAGGGAGGCCCCATGGAAGAGGCAGGTTGGTCGCCCCCTCTTAACCTCCCTTAGCTCTTCCCTTGTCTTTCCAATCTCTTTCGCATCTGCCTTTTCCCGGCGTGCTGCACTTACCTTCACACAGTGTTCCTCGAATCCTTGAGTAGCCCTTTGAGCAGATTGGATCTATAAAAGAAAAGAAAATGGGCACAGAGCTTAAAATTTGCACAACAGAACCCCAAAATATGTCTGAAATAAACTCTAGATCTTCTCTGTAACTCAAGCTCCAAATCAGCCATAACAAAGGAAGGAGGATGGATGGAAAAAAGAACATACGAGGCTTGACGATACAATACTAGGCACAGTTAGTCAAAATTAAGTCCTCTGTGTTTAAAGGATTCCTCAAAAAATAAAAGCAGATGGGTTTGCCTGCCTCTTTCTGCAACTAGTGAAATAAAATACAAGTGAAATGAATTAAATCACTAGCCACAACTTATTACATGTCACATTTGTCACAGGGATGACTTGCAGAGAGCTTGCTTGGATCATGGGGCAAACGACAGAAAAAGTTCAGCTCTGCATTCAAAAGCGGAGCTCCCTGAAATGGAGGGAAGACATCTGTTTCCCCAAGCCTCTCTCACTTCCATGTTTGGCAAGTGGTCCTGCTTTGTTTTATGACTGGTGGGTAGGTTTTGGCCCTTGATTAATGCCAAACCAGAGAACATGAGTTAGCAAATCGACCTAGATTCAGTGCTACTCCTACTTAATGTATTTAGAAGCAAGAATACGCAGCTGTTGTGCAAAAAAGGGAAGGCCCCAGGCTTTGTTGAAAAGGGAGATGAAAAAAGCACTATATTTCAAGAGGTGGTGGTGATGGCATTAGACTTGCAGGGATGAGCCTCGCTCGGCTTTCTCATTCTAGGGCTCCAGATAAGCCGCCTTCCCCGGAGTCAAGGAAAGAGACGTACCTCGTTCACAGGGAACGCAAGGACTACCCCACGCAGCACCGAGAGAGGAACAGCACTGGGATTTCAAAGTGGCCCCGTTGATGTTGATTTCACACCTCCCATTCACAATGGTCTGCCAGCAAGTGCCTTTAACAGTCTCTGTCAAGGTAACAATAAAATGAATAAATAAGCAGACAGTGGCATTACCGGATAGCAGTATATCACGTGCAGCGGAGGTGTTCCTTAAAGAGACCAGCTTTGGTAGACTACAGACCACTTCACCAGATGCAAGCTACAGCTGAGGAAGCAGCCTGTCAGCCACAGAAGATGATGACTTCCTAAGTGTATGAACCTTCCTACTCTTCTTACAAGACTTTTCCTACCCTTTATTTATCCAGGGTGCAAATGGCATGGGATCCCAATGAGACATTGCAAAAACAGCGCAATATGTCCTTGTTGTTAAAAGCACCTACATGTCTGTTGTTGTTTTTTAATGCAGCAAAATACTTGCATTTGCTTCTACCTTTTGCTATTATCCTCTCAGTGCAAAAACAGCTGTGGAGCCTCTGACATCTCTCTCCAAACTATTCATAAAGCCATTGTCTTCATCTCAGCTAAATGCCAGCTCAGTCTTTCTTTGCTTTTTGACTCAGTACAGTAATAATTCTCCAATTTCAACACAACAGGAAAACACCGCAGAGACACTTTTAAACACACTTAACAAAATGGCAAACCAACCATTCAAACACTTTCTTAGCTTTATTTCAGCTAATCTTTGAAGTTCTCTTAAAAGTTTCCTGGGAAACAGAGAAGTGAATATGTGTATGCCCCATTACACGCAAGACATTGTCAGATTTCAGAACACATCCGACATAAAGAACGTCAATCAATTTACCAATGCAGATGGTCTTTGTGGCGTCCAAAGAACTTTCCCGCGAACATTCACAAGCAAAAGAGCCTGGGGTGTTTTTGCACACTCCATTAACACACGGACTGGATTCACACTCATCAATATCTAGAAGAGAAGCAGCAAAAAATGAATACCTAACAGCAGACCCGAACCCTTGAGTGGCTTCTTTTCTGGTTGCTTACTTAGAAACAAAACACTTCTCTTGGTCATACTGTGGCTCTGATCCAGAAATCTACATTGGCAGGGATTGGGCCCGACTCTTGGCGGGTTTTGTTTGTACATTTGCTCCGGCACAGGAAGTTTATAACTACACTGCATTCATCTCCCAGTCTTTTGCCTCGGATATTTGTCTTTCGCTCTGTGACCCAAAGTGGCAGGAACCACAACAACAGTCAGTCCATGGCTCCAAGCAAGCAAGCAAGGACTTTCGTTGTCAACCAGTGTGCAGGCCAAACTGCAAGCACCGGATCTCCATGCAAAGAATATAATACGTACAAGGTACTGGGTCAAGGCCAAAGTGAACAGGCTGAACTCAAAGCTTAAAAGGAGGTTTCGGTGCCATTTCAGACTTGCAGTGAAGCCTATTCACTTTACATCCATGGCCCACATCTTGTTGAACTGCTGCAGGGATGATCTGATGAAAAGTGCCTTAGATCAGGGTGTCTATGTGGCTGGACTCCAACACTGATCAATTTCACCAGCACAGTAGATGGTCACAATGGGATGGGAGCCACCATCCAAAATCTGGAGACCCATCTGTTCCCTAATTGGGATCTTCCCAATATCACAAAGCATCGTCTCTGAAAACACGCCTACAGCAGTTCCACAGAATCAGTCATTAGAATTCTCATTAGAAAGAGTGATGCCCTCTGAGTCCATGGCTTCCTCTGGGATTTGGACCCAGATGAGTTAACTGCTCAAGGGTTTACGTCTCTGGCTGCAGAACCAGAGTTTGATTCCTCCCACGGTGCCTCCTTGACACAGGCTGGACTCAAGGATCCATAAGGGGTCCCCTTCCAGCTCTGCAGCTTTAAGCTTCTAAGATCTTCATAGTTTCTTCTACGGACAGTTAGGAAAGTTTTCCACTGCTTTGCTGGCACAAGAGAAACAATGAGGAGAAGCCTTTCTCAAAGAACTACTGAATTCCCACCCAGAATATTCAATGGCAACTCAAATTGCTTATTGTTTTTTTCCTTTAGTCAAAATGGACAATATTCATTTCCAAATTTCTCTTTTGCTTGGTGGGCAAATATTGTTAGGTCTTTTGCTCTGGCGGGCCAAATTTAAAACTGTCAGCATTGGGGCATCCTATTAAAAAAATAAAATGGCTTTAGTCTGCCTTAAATGAACCTCACTCTAAACACTGGCAAATTTATCCACATATGATATGGGTCAAATACAACCCCAGCGATAAGGCAGTTTCAATCAATCAATCAATCAATCAATCAATCAATCAATCAATCAATCAATCAATCAATCAATCAATCAATCAATCAACCAGCCAACCAACCAACCAACCAACCAACCAATCAACAAACCAACCAATCAACCAACCAGGCAACCAACCAAGCAACCAATCAACCAGGCACTCAGAATCAGCGGCAACCCAAAGGGGTGTTTCTAATTACCTTCACACGTCTGCAGATCAGGCTTGTAGACAAACCCTTTGGGACACGTGCAAGAGAAGCTTCCCGGGGTATTCCTGCACTGGCCGTTGTCACAGAGCAAGGCGTTCAAGACACACTCATCGATGTCTGCAAAAACAATTAGAAGTGTCCCTACTGAGACTAAAGAAGGTTTTGTCCTCATGAGGAGCCATCAAGGACCCCTTTTTTAAAACAAGCGGACAAGGTTTCGCGGGTGGGGGACCATTCTCCGGGTGGTGCAAGAGAAATACCTCTCTTTGGAGTGAAATGAAAATGAACCCCCTGGAGAAGGAACGAGGTTTGGGGCTTTCAGTGGCTTCACTTATTCCCAAACTTCCTGCCCCTGGCAGAAAAAAGAATCACATTTCTCTGTGACCCAAAGCAGCCACAAGAGACCTTGTGTGCGATCGAAACGCCATTGCCACATTCAGAACATTTTTTCTGATGCAATCATTTGTTCTAACATGACAAGGGGGTCAGGCCAAACATGGCCATGCAGCCTTCCCAAAGGTCTTTGGTCCACTCCTTCCCAGTGCCTGTAGCGAGGTAAGGGGGAGCCAAGAGAAAGATCTTGAAGGACGTGGGGCAAGTTTCAAGAGGCAGGTAGGAAGAAAGTGGGAGAGCCAAGCCAGATCCAGGTGTGTCTCCCTGAAAAAGCAGTGCCATCAGGACAGATCTTTGCCAGAGTGGGATGCGATGGGATTCTTAAAGCAGCCTGCCAAAGCAAGCAATACACCTAGACCACACGGCCTTCAAAACTGTGCTAGAGCAGGTCCCGTTTTGTAAAATACCATCCATGTGCATGGAAACACAGAAACACACAACAGGTCTTTTTTAAAAAGCCACCAAGGGGTAGCTGGGAAGCGCCAGCCATGCAGGGATGGTTTTGGTAGCGCCAATTCACAATTTCTTGCTTTCAGAGGAAGAAGTCATTATTTCTTGCATCCGGTCAAGAGAATAAGAAGCGATTCTTTAAGAACAGGAATGACATGGAACAGCAGAACCTTTAGCCCAACAGCTGGGGCAGAAACATTTTACTAGTGAATAACAGGAAGTTTAATTTAGTTTCATTTTGTTGACCTGCATGATCAACAGAGTGTCCGCTACAAGCAAGCAAATCATCTGATCCAATCTACTGCTTCGCCGAGCTCAAGACAATGTGGAACATTGCATCACTACACTAGCAACAGCCAATGCATGCAGAAATGAACAAGCATCCAGAGGTTTCTGGCCCTGCTTTTTTAAAAATGATAATATACTAGCCATTTCTTTTCAAGTAACAATTTCATTTGCCCAATAGGCATTTCAGCCTTGAACTCTGTCATTAGAACCACCACCAAAGTGGAATCCTAATCACCCAAAGAGAAATCCAACAGCATTTAACCTTAAAAGCTACCAGGAGAAGGAATCCTTGGGTATCGCTCACAAGCACCTTTGGGATGCCTGGGTTGTATCCGAAACCATTGGGAAGAGAGATCAGAACGTACAGGTATATGGCAGGACTCGGTCAATGCAGAGCTTGTCCCGGTGCAGATGGTCTGCATTGTTGTCAGCCATGCAGGCTATTCTGTTGTCTTACAATACTGCAGAATACTGGGTCACGGTTAAAACGGTACGTTCGATCCTTGGTTAGCGAAGTTGGTGCCCTCTCTGAAGACAGAACCTGCTAGCCTGCAACTCCACCTCGGGTGCATCTATGCAAGCCAGACCACAGAGCGGCGGCCACGAAAGAATGGACACACGCTCACCATGTAGGAACACCTACGAACCAAAGACTCAAGCAAGAAGCTAAACCACACGGTGCAAAGGGAGATCAGGAATACTCCTCATTCCTCTTGCCTGTTTCACTTAAAGGAAGGGGGAGAGATCCCTCCCAAAAAACGGTGAATAAATTAGGATCTGGCAGCCTGATAACAGGAGGCGAAAGGGGGGGGGGAGGCGTAGACAGGAACATAAAAATGGAAAGGAAGCTGAAAGGTCAAGAGGAAACAAGACAGACCATTCCGAAACACCAGCTGGCACTGCTACGGAACAATGAGGCACCATCTGGGAATGTGTCAGATAGGAAGAGAGAAAAAAATCTCATACCTAAGCAGTTTTTCCCAGTTGAATCCACTTCATAGCCAAAGTTACAGATGCACTTGTATGTTCCGCGCAGGTTTTCACAGATGCCGTTTGGACAAATATCGGGATCCAAAGCACATTCATTTATATCTACAAAGAAATTATATACATTCTCTTATGCCTTTTTATATGTCTTAAATGCAACTAAGGTCATGACTTAGAGGGGGGACATGTTGCATCTTTTTCTTGCAACCTATGTTTGAGCTTAAGGGTGGGTTTTAACGTGTTTATGAGTAATCTGGCGAGAAAGACCAGGCGACCCCCATCAACATGTTCAGACTCCCTTGCGGGTTCAAATGGAGGTTGCAGAGAAAATGTGAAATGTCATAGAAATCCTAATTTTTGACCTCTTTATAACGGACACAAAACCAAGTTACGTAGCTCTCCCCTCAAAGAATTCCTTAGCAATTCCCTTGGCCGCTGCCTCACATACATCTAACATTAAATCATCATATCCTCTTACCCGTTCCGGTTGCAGTCATGCCGGGACCACTGCTGCAAAGACCGTGGTATTCATCTATGGCAGAAGGAATATCAAATCAGACCAGATCACTTCGTTTTAATGCCTGAATCAACTTTTTAAATTATTTCAGAACAATATCTGGAAGAAATCCAGGATCAAAGAATGTCTCTTAACATCCTGATATTTGCATAGTTTTTTGGCCAGCTAAAGAGGGCAAGATTGATTGATTAACTGACGGACGGACTGACTGATATCAGGGCAAGCACTACACTGGACAGTTTACACAGGGTTAAAAACATAGGGCTAGGTTTAACCCTCAAATCATCACAATAACAAAACAAAAACAAAATGATTAAAACAATACAGCAACAGAACAAAACAATAATTATAACCAACCATTACAAATAACCCAATATAAAATCTAACATCGATCAAAACATTAAACAATCACAATGTTATTTTATAAAATAATGCATTAAAATTGCCCACATTAGAGGCTCTGAACATCAGCCACCTCTCTGTCGTTGGTGCCAGAGGCTACAGTTGAGTCTTTACATAAATCCACGTTCAAACCCTTGAAATCGCTCTGAAATCCACCCTCTGCAAACATATTCCTGAAGCAAAAGATTTTATAATTTCAAGAACACTTTTTGAGACTGGAACTGCTAACCCCATCAGAAACCACACCTAAAATGAGAATTATCTAGTAGGTGTGAGGATAGCTTATAGCCTCTAGATATCATAGTAGACCTAATAAATTTAGAATATAGGGGCTGAAGAAGAAAAATAAGATGATCTTCACATCATACCTGAGCTTTGTGCGGGGCAAGGCTGGCAGGGTTCTCCAAAGGCATAGTCCGTGCTGGCACAACAACATTCTGATTTCGTTACTGCTCCAGACAACGGTTTAACACACTGGCCTCTCCTGTATTCACCGTAGCATGTGCTTCGCATATGCGTGTCTGAACGAGAAGCAGAGGAGGAGGGCAGGTTGACATCACCGGTGAGAAAAAGGCATTGGAAACATTCAGGAAGAATCATGCCAGGAACGAAAGGTGGAAAAAACACTCCGAATCCTAAAGCCACCCTTGATATAATATTTAAGGTATTCCCCATAATTTATTAGCAATATAGCAAGTAATATTTGCACCCCCAAGAAGACACAGGCCGGAGTGCCAGGGGGAAAATTCTAGCCATGGGATTTCCTAGATGGCAGAGTTTGGGGGTGTTACTTTTGCGATCATTCCCATCATCTTCCAAGCAGCCTGGCCAATAGCAACATGCCTGAGTGGACTTGGGGGGGGGGTGTCTTTTGAAGACAGGAAGTAATTTTTTTAAAAAAACACCTCTGCTATATGGTGGCATGGATGGTCTGAGAGACTGCCAAAACCTCAGTATTTTTCCCCCTCTGAAAGGCAAAAAATAAAGCAGTTTCATCTAAATTCCCATCAAAATTATAAGCTCCTGGACTACCAGAAGACAGGAATTTTTCAACGTTACTCATAGGAGCCTTTGACCCTCTCCTTCCATTTTGCTGTAAACGTCTATACCCTATCTTGCCCACTTTATCTACTTAATTCTTCGCTGTAGAAAACATTCATTATTGCAACATAAAGAGCCTTGTTATTTGCACCGTGGGTCTTCATTCTAACTCTTGCCCAGAGTCCAGAAACATTATTTTTTTGGACTACAATGCCCCAAATCCCCCCCCCAACCAGTGCAGTAGCACTGGGTCCTAGAAAGGTAGCAATTCAGACGGTGGCATTCCAGTTTTAACCACCCTTAGACAACCCCAAATGCAAAGACATGAAAAGACTGTCAGAAGCAATTTAACCAAGCTTTTGATGTTTCAACCTGGCCTGGGGGTGCACCTCTCTGAACACTTCACGCTCTGCTTTATAAAACAATTCTACTTCCTTACTTTGCAAAAGCTGTCAAAGACTGAAAATGAAGAAGGAAGCCTGGTTGCCATTTGCTAAGGTCTGTTAATTTTCTGCACATCCAACATTGGGACTTATGACAGGCATGCTTGTCTTAAGTAAGTAACATTTTGAATCCCTTGTCATTTTGTAAATAACTTTGGTTGCTTCCATCGTATCCACTTAGTTTGTAATAAGCATTCTCTTTTTTTCTAACTTGGGAGAATCCAAATAAACACTGCTAAGCCACCGCATTCCCATATTTTCTTTCTTGGTCTTTCTTGGTCTTGGTCGAGTTCAGTCTAAGACGAGCCTGCCCACTGTGCAGTGCCACTGAGTTTTTACCCCTTTTGTTAGCAGCTTCCTTCACATTACTGGTTTCATAAAGGACACCTCCTGTTTAGTCAAAGCAGTTACGGCTTTCCTGAAGTACACTTACTGGGGTAAGAAGCCATATTTATCACTGTATTTGTTCTTGCAGCCTAACCACTTGCTCATTTTATTCCCATGAAGAAGAGGTCAAGGAGGAAACTATTAATTAAAGGGCAGTTGCAGGGAAGTTATATCCAAACAAACTCAAACTGCCAGGATGGGTATTGTATGTTTCCCTGGCATAAAGGGGAGACATAATAGCAGTATGATTTGAGCATCATGTGCAACCCAAGCTGGATCAGGGTTTACCACTGAAACAAGCAAATAAACAAAAAGGCATTTATTTTAGAACCCTTTGAGATCATGAATTTAACACCAGGCGGTAACGGTCAGCACAGGGAAGGCCTCCTTACCAACGCAAACGCGTCCATCTAGCCCCACTGCAAGGCCTGGGAAGCATTCGCACCTGAAGGAGCCTTCGGTGTTCACACAGCGCCCGTTCATGCAGATTCCAGGTGTCTCACACTCGTCAATGTCTGCCAAGAAACAAAAAGAACAGGTTCCATTTTTGGAATAAATTGCTGAAATTAAGTAGTTTTGCTTGAGCGGAGACACTCACGTTCCATATCGCTTTATTCGCAACACGTCCAAATAAAGCAGTAAAGGGAAATCCAACTTCAGCGAAAGGAACTTAAACCAGCATTAGCTCACCCCCACGAAATGCTCAGAACAAAGGCATCATTCAGAGGGGTGGGGGGGAATCCAACTCCATGAGTGGGATAAGAAAACTGTCTGAACTGCATCTTCTTCCTTGTGTCTGGGATACAATTTCATGCCACATTCCCAGGAGGAAAGTGTTCCCCAAATTAATGATATGTCTACATTACAGAAGGGGAGGAGGGACGGACAGAAAGTCCGAGGGGCAAAACACACCGTGGGCGATAGTGTTTCACAAAAGGGCCAAATGTCTTCACCATCAGACTTCCTGCCGGGACTCCCAGAGGCGGCAGCGAATGGGACGTTGCGTTGGAAGAGTCAACGGACAGACCACAACGGCCTATCAGGGATCCCAGGAAAAGTCGATAATCCTCAACTCACCAGGAAGCCTGTCTGAGTAGAGAGGCTATTATGGGCAGCTGTCCGGCAGCCTCCTTCGCCCCTGTTTAAAGCATGTGAGCCTTTCCAGCAGGGATTCAGTGGCTGAATTCCAGGAGTAAGCTTGCCGCTCATGTCAGCCCATTGAATCCACTGAACGCTTGGAGGAGTAGGTTCACCAAATCCCCACTGATCCAATGGGGCCCACTCTTGTTGGGACTTGCTCCTGGATTTCAGCCTGGAAATGGAAAGCCCCGATCACTGGCATCTCTCTCTCCCTCCCTCCCACACATGGGGGTGCCTCTAGAGCCCTGAAGCTCCCTGGCGGTGCCAGACGGGGTAAGGTTTGTGGGGTTCTGCAGCCTTATCCCCAGAACTGAGAGCCCCTTGATAAGATGCCCAAGCAGTAAGATTTCGGCCCTCCACCTGCTTCCAGGCTGCTTTTGCTAGTGACGGTAACTCCTGCACTGTGTGTCTCTCTTATTCAGCCGCCTGGGGTTTGTCGAAGGGAGCTCAGGACTTTCTTGTCACGACCTGCTTGCGGTCTAAAACTCAACACGGGGGAAATGGCAGACGTCGGGAGAGGAAAGGTGGGGTAGTGGGTTTCATCTCATGCTGCCTCCTACCGTTTCCCTTTTGGGGAATATTGGGATTTAAATGCCAAAACCTTTCGTGGACCGACAGGGCCTCAGCTAAGATCTCGGGCTTTTCAACTTAACCATAAATAAATAAAAATGGTGTCCCTGCAGAAATATCAAAAGGAACTTTTTTCCCCTGATATGGTGATTGTGCTATTTGATCCTGAAAGCTGAGGATTAAAGAAGGGAATAAAATCTAAAACGCTGCGTGGGAGGAGGTGTGTACCATGCAACAATGTAATCACATCTTAACAGCTCGCCTTAATATACACAATGACCAGCATGCGTGACCTTTTCTGCTTTTCGCCCCCCAGCCTTAAAAGGGCAGACGGAGTGCAAAACACCTCCATGTGTTGCACTCAGCTTGTATGGTTTGGCACAGAAAACGAAAACTCTGGTCCAAGAACCGGTGTTCTAATTGTATTTTAAAATAGATATTTTTGTAAGTAGGTCTCTCGGGCACATCAGCATCTTAACGCTAATGGATCGGCCCTGGGCAGCAAGGTCAATACCTTTTTAAGTCCACCTTCAGTTTCCAGAATAGCTCTTAGGTAGACATTCTGCCCCCAACAAATATATCTATCTATATATATATCTTTACTTCTATTTACAAGTAAAGGATCTGTGTGATTCATGCACAGAAATAACATTGTGGATTTAGTAACACTTTTACTAAAAATGTTTGAAGACAGGATTTGACCTCTGCAGAACTTTTCATTAAGCAAAGATAGCATAGAGGGAAAGGGAATGGTAAAACCTCCTCCCCCCCCCACATTGTTCCAAATTTCATGCCCAATGTTTTGGAAGTCAGACTGCGAGCAAGCCAAGATGAATTTTGCAGATTCAAAACTAAGATGCTGGGGGTATCTGCTTACAGTCTCTCCTCGCTCTGTAGATAATAAGTCTGGCTTTCTGAAGCTCTGCATTTACAAAATAAAAGGTTTTGGAAGGTGTGTCCTAGAACCAGAGGAGACAGGATGGGAACCCCCAAGTGTGTGGGGCTGCCACAAAACCATTATCCCAGGTACGGAGATCTAAGGCCCCCTATGAATCCTTAGAGATGAAAGGACTTCCGTCCACCTTCCTTAAACTCTTGGGCCCCCCAACAAGCTCAGACTGGAGAGAGTTTTATGCACTTGCCACTTTGAAAAGACAGCTCTCTCGAAGCGCTGAAAGGAATAAGAAGGGGAAAGTGCTATAAAATCCGTTCCGGCTTTCAACAGGAATTATTAGCAGTGCAGCCTGCTGCTTTGGAAAACCATCAAAAAAACTTTTTTTCATTTGAAGCCCTGATGCAATGCCCTTCAGGGAACTTTTGGTGGTGCAATCCTTTTTTCGGTTTGGTCCAAGTGCTGAGAAATGGGCACCAGAGACCCTGCTCCCCATGAATACACACAACCAAGGATGTTGTGGCCACTTGAAAGATTAACAAGTTCTATTTCATGCAACTGGGGGCAATGGGAGGGAGAGGTTGATTGATACAACAGTATTACTGCCAGCCTTTAAAAGAAAACAGAAAAAGCCCTACTTAAGATTGTGCCTCAGTAAAACGTCCCTGTGCTTCTTCTCTGGTCACACACTCAACCGTTCTGGCTTTTGAGACTTATTTCTCTAAATGTAGTTCAGCTCTATCACATTGTCTAGTTCTCCTTGGAGAAGAGAATCCCGACTAGAGGAAATGACATCTGAAGTATCCCCCCACCACGGCCCAATTAACCACTTGCAGAAAGCCAGTAGAGTCAAGGAAAAGCCATGATAAAAGAGGTGTTGAGTTTTGCATGCTCAAAGAGGAAGTGACAGACCAATTATTATACACTGTCCTAAGGCTTGGCTGGGACTGTTGTCTCAATAGCTCACCTTATCGAAAAAAAATGAAATCATTTCCAAATGAAAAGAAAGGGGGAAAAAGAGTTGGGGGGGGGGAGAGAGAGAGCAAGAGTAAAAGAGTGTCATTACTTTCCTGATTACCCGACACGAGAAAGGAAAAGAAGATAATAAAAAGGTTAAAAAATATGCATACAGCATTTTCCACCACTCCCCACCAGTGCAGCACCACAATCCTTTTTTAAACAAGGAATAAAGGAAACTGAAATGTTATACCACAGAGTCTCTAAAGCCGACACGGGAACTTTATCTGTATGGTATGATTCTGAGGTCCAGCCACATGCATCAAGGGAAATTTTTCCCTATCTGAACTGCACAGGAGAAAGCGGTAAGCAAAATTATCATTGTTCTCACACGGCTTTAAAAAAAGTCCAAAAGGAATCTCAGCATCCTATGCCTCATCCGAAGTAACCAATGTGCGACGTATTAGCAACGCCACGCTCACCTCTACAGTAACGGCCGTCTGAAGCTAACTGGAAACCGGGCTTGCAAATGCACTTGAAGCTTCCATCCTCATTGATGCACATGCCGTTGAGACACATGTTCCGTATGCTGCACTCATCCATATCTATAAAATTGCACACAAAAACAGACAACAGGGCATCAAGAGGATATAGTACGACTTTTTTTTTCTTCCCAGATCATCCAGCTTGCTCCAGTATAGAGTGAACAATGACTGGATTTCAAGAATGCTCCTAACCTTTTAATAACTTCCTAGCAGAAATAACTTTATTGAGCATAAACAAATGATCGGGGGTGGGGGGAATGGCATTGCCTTGCCAAGAGAAACCCTCACTGGGTTAAGAGCTGGCAGCAGTTATTTGCTCTTAAGAACAGAACTTAGACTTTTAAGGGCCAAAAATTCATTGTTGCCTGAACAGTCTATGAGTGATCTCCTGTTTTTATTCATTCCTTTACTAAATGCAGTAATAATAAAGCACGCAGGGCTTGGGAGCTGTAATTATTTTCTCTGTGTTGTAACTGTAGCCTAGTTTGCCTTCGAAACTGAATTACAGGATTGGTCAGGGACAATACGGGAAGGGTGCTATAATAGCCAACCCAAACCTGATAGGGCTGGCAGTCCCAGAAACATTTAAACCAAGACAACATGGCTAGAGAGACATAAAAGGCCTTGTAGGACCCGCTTTGCAAGGGGGTCTCCCGTTGTATTTAGAGGAGGGAAGGAGGCACAGATCCTTCAGTCTCACTATATTATTTCGCTTTAAGCCTCTGTTTATTTCAACTAAACTTCAAACAGATGGATATTCCCATTTGGCAATGTTCTGTGTTCATTTACGGATGTTTTGAACATTCATTTCCCCTTGCTGTTGGTCAAATGGAAGCAGCTAAGAGAGGACAGAAATGTCCTTTCCTCCTGTCATACAAAACGCCAGGGTTATCCACTGAAACGCCATGCATGCCTTTTAAAGAAACTTTTAAACAAAAGAACTTGCACGCTGACTGAGAAGCCATTCCCCCGGAATTCCTTGGGATTGCTCTGTGCAGAATTGCACAGAGCAGCCGTTCATTTTTTTTCTACTTGCCATCAAAAATAAACCAAGCCAGAGAGAGGACAGGAGAGTCGTTGGTTAGAAGACAACAGATCCACTCACGCACCCTCAGCTCTTACGGTCTTCGCTTACTTACACTACGTAGGGTTACAGCTGAGCCTGACAAGGGAAACCGGGCTGCGACGGTGTAATAGAAGCAATTACTTCAGAAGCTGATGCAATTCAATCTGCTCACAGACATTTTGGCAGCCTTTTTTATAGAATGAAAAATGTTTTAGCAGATTGTCTTCTGTATTGCACTGGTTCTTATTATTGTTAACACATGGGATTTAGTAGGAGAGCTGGGAGGGAGGTAAAATCGAAATGCTATGATGGATTTCCATATATATATGAATGACATGGATACTTAGATCTCACCTCTAAAAAGAGCTGAATTTTTAACCATTCCCACTCTAAGGGAGGATGACATATGGATTCCTGATGAGTTTGTCTCCAGTAAGGATTAACAAAATTACAGCCAGCATTTATTGCTAGATCCCAGTGACTTTAAAACCGTATCCGGAGCTAAGATCCTTCCCTTCATATTCCAGCTGCCTTGGACTGAAATTATCCTTCTACACATGCCATGTTTACATCCCCCTTCCATTCTAAATCAGACAAGAATAATTTATGATTTTTAAAAATGTGCATCTCTCCTAAATAGGAATTTTGGCATCCAATCTTCAAGCTGAATCACTGAGATAATATTCCGCCAAAAAATGTTTCTATGACTAGTGCCTGAAATTCTTTGTAACATATGAACAGGATCATTGGAAACTCTCCCAAAGACCTTGGGAAACATGATAAAATATTTTATTGTTATTATTATTTCAATAGCTAGAGGCCTGGGAGGTAAGAACACACTGAATTATGTTTACTTTTCCTGAAGGAGAGACATGTCTTTAAAAGTCAAGATATGTTGCAATGCGGCCCCACCAGGATGCAAATTAAGCAATATAAAACGATGAGTTAAAGATGCTCCGTGCAGCTAGAATGCCCCTCTTAGGCTCTTGGAAGCAACCCCTGTCATGATACAAACCATTCACGGCAGGACGGAGAAATGGTGTATTTTCCTGGAACCATTCCTGGAGCGGTCTGAGCTAGCCAGGATGACACATGCCTTAGTTGCATCCCAGCTGGGTTACTGTAACAAACTGTACCTGGGGCTGCCCTTGGAAAGTGTTCGGAAACTTCAGCGGCTCTGAAATGCTGCAGCCAGTTTGTTACCTGGCGCTGGTTGCCGGAATTGCAGAACAACAAGAAAAACCCTGGGGAAAACGTCTGAAAAATCTGGTCTGAAACTAGGAAAAAGGGAAGCCACGGCCCTATTCTGAATCAGACTTTTGAAAGTCTATAGAGATCTTGCTATGAAGCTGCATTCTTGGACCCTGTGAGAAGACTTGTGGATACACAGACGCATGCATGTGCATGCACGCACACATCCACACACAGAGTCACATACAGAAGGGAGGGGGAAGCATTCGTAAGGGAGGAGGGGACCCTGACCTTGCACGCACACATCCACACACAGAGTCACACACTTGTACAGAGGGGAGGGGAAAGCATTCATAAGGGAAGAAGGGACTCTGACCTTCACAGTTCTTGCCATCTGCTGTCACGTGAAATCCAGCATTGCAAACACAGTGGAAGCTGCCGTCCGTGTTGATGCACCGCCCGTTACTACATATCCGGCCATTCTGTAAGCATTCGTCAATGTCTGGAGGGACAGAAAAACGGAGAGGTCAGCCTTGAACAAAACGCAGCCCAGCCAGACACAAAATCGAGGCTCCTATCACGACTCCTCTCTGAAGATCAGTTATACCTTTGCAGTAATTGCCTCATCTAACTCACAGGGCCATCGTGGAAATAAATGGTGCCACTGAGCTCCTTAAGCCTCCAGAGATTTCTAGATCTGTGCCTCCCCCCCTCCATGTCCATATATTGATACACATTCCACTAATTATACCTTCAGTCTTCACATATAAAGGTAACAAGAGATGAGAGCTCCACTTTGACTTTCATTGTAAGCTTCCTGCCTGGCTTCCCCTGATTTTCTCACCATCAGAACAAGCACCAAAATGAAACCAGGGTTTTCCACCCAGGGCTGGTTTTCCTTTTCATACGTAGCTTAAGAAAGTTCTGGTTAAAATGACAAGCAAAGCCAAAGTGTGCTACTAATAAACAGCCCCGCAGTGCTTAAAGCTCTCTCTGGGCAGTCATTTTACAAACTTCAGAAGGATGGAAGGCTGAGCGAGCCTTTGAGCCACCCGCTTGAGCCTAGGATCAAATGCAGGCCATGAGCAGAGTCTTCACTGCAGCACTGCAATTTAACCACTGAGCCAAGAGCAGCATTCTGTCTCAAGATGTTAACAATACTAGGGGCCAAAATGCCTTACATTTGGGCCACAGGATGCAATTAGTGGCCTAAATGAGGAGAAATTTCCCTCCGCACTATTGAAACCTTGCACATGGGTCCAACATCAAGTATGGATGGCCCTGCGCCAAAGGCCCACAATGCATCAAGGGAGCCCTGAAAAGACACTCCTTGAACCCATCCTTCTTTTTCAACACTGTGGCTATCTTGTCCACTTGCCCTTTTCCACCGGGCTGTAGGGGGTGAGCGAGCCAGCCAACCGATGAATGGATGGTCGTCGTGAGAAGCGCCAGCACGTCGCTCCTTTGACTGCTTGCTCATTAGCCAGGAAGCAGAAGGAGGAAAAGGCAGAACTACAGACCCTGAGGGCAGGAGCTACCCAGAGAGAAGAAGTGGGGCCTCACTGAAAGTGTCAGGCCCAAAGGTCCCCCGTGTCGTTCCCCCCCCCCGAACTATAGAGCCAGGATGGATTACAGATGAGATCCCAACCTTCCCAGAAAGGAGAGAGTGATGACCGCTCAGCCCCGCTACCCATCTCTCCTGGAAGAGAGCCAGGATGGGGCCTGGGATGGCACAGACTGTTTGAAGCTCAAACCGTGGCTTTGCAGAGTAGCAACCAGGTCAGGACCGAGAGGGTCCCGCTTGCTTCCCACCGAGCTTCCTCTTTTGCAAGCAGGCTCCCAAAGGGCAGCGACAGGAGTTCACGTCTACAGCCCAAAAGTAGAAGCAGCAGCGCTCCTGTAGCGACGTGGGGCCTTTTGGGAAGGCGAGCTGTCCCTCTGAGGGCAGAGGAGTCTTGTACCTCGGCATTCGGTCCTCATGAGGGTACTCTGGTAGCCAGGCCGGCACTGGCAGATGTAGGACCCTTGCGTATTCACGCAGTCTCCACCGATACAGGGATTCCTCTCACACTCATCAATATCTATAAAGACAGAGAGAGAGTGTTTTAGTCGAGGTTCTCTTGGCATCTGTGCAGATCCGGAAGTTTATTCCAGTTGGTCTCCTTGACAAGTGCAAAAACAACATTAAAAAAAAGGCTGTGGCTATTTAGTGCTTTAACTTTAGACCCTTTCTCTTCCTCCCCTTTCTATCCTCCTCAAGGCAAGTTTTGTGTTATAGGTCTCTCCTGCTGAATATTCCACCTGCCTCACCCTCTTTCTCCCCCCCACCCCTTTTCAGGTGAAGAAAGTATTTAATTGATATGAGTCTCTCAATCATGGCCCAGCCAGGTGGTTTTCCTTTAAATGATCTTCCTGACCTTCTTTTCAGAATGACACAGAGTTCCCGCAGAGCAGGATAGGGGGCAAGGTTTTTAAGGACTCCCACTTCCTAAATCTAAGCACCGGGAGATAAAATCCAAGGTTGGACCTACTATGAGGCAGAGGGAGGAAACTGCCCCAGTCCACACAGGACTGGCTGCTGGGGAGAGCCAGTGAGGTCTGATGCTCCAAAGGGAGCCACCCTCAAGACTCCCGAACTTGAAACATCTGTGCCCTCAACAGACGTGGAGTCTCTTGTTCTTGCACCCAGCACTCGGACAGCCCCCCCACCCGGGAGCTCTGTGCCGGCAGCATGCTCAGCAGGGGCACCCAGAGAGGTGACTATGCGCCAGGGATCAGGCCGAAAGGTTTTCTGAGAAGGGTTGGAACTTGGGTCACCAGCTCGAGACAACCCAGTGCTGGCCAGGAGCTGTCCTTGGTGCTGACATTGGAAGGCTTCTCTGGCTGCTATCCTGCGGTCTCTCTCCAGGTGGGCCAGAACGTCATCAGGGCTCTCAAAACCATGCAAGGGGAACTCTTAAAATGTTGGGGTGATGGCCCTTTCTCAAGCCCATAAAGGGATACTACTGGACATTACCTTCAAGGCTTATGTGCTAATGGAATACTAAATACTAATACTAATACTGAAACAATTTTGTTTTATCTTTTTATTGTATTCAAATTGTTGTAAGCCACCCAGAGACCTTTTAAAGAAATAAAGAAATAAATAAAATGGGGCAAAAGATGGAAACATGACTGTACTGCTTGTCTCATTTCAACATGGATCCATTAGATCATAGGCTGAGTAATAAGTCAACCCTTAAGGAAACCCAATTGAGTCAGTGAGTCTATTCTACTTTGGAGGAGAGCAATAAGACATTATTCCATGATCGCTGTCGTGGGAAGATTAAACAGTTTTGCTGGTATTTTATCTTTTTCTAAAGCAAGATCATGCCATCACTAGTGGCAAAGCCTTTCAGTAAGTTGTCCTTTGTGAAAGTATGCAAAAGAAGAAAGAAAAAACATACCGATGCATTCCCCTCTAAGGTCCAGTTCAAATCCTTTCTTGCATTCACAGCGATAACTTCCTGGAGTCGGGATACATCGTCCATTAAGGCAGAGATTCTGATACAACTGGCAGAAGTTGACTTGAGGTCGGGTCACATTAACTGGAACAACACCTGAAACCAAAATTTTAAAATAAAAGGTTTAAAGTCCAATGTACTTTATGCCTCAAGTACTGTAACTTCAGTTTAAATCTAGTTTTATACAATTTTACAGTTTGTTTTTTTATTTACTTATGGAACTTTTATACCACCCGATTCATGTTAAACTCTAATCTGGGGCGGTTGATAAGACAAAGTATATAATATGACAACAACAAGAAGAAATAAAATAAAGCAAGTCAATAAATGACATAAAACTCACAATATAACAAATTATATTGTGTCCTTTGTTAAAGCACATAAATGTTTCACAGGTAATTCATATGACAATGTGGGTCTGAAACATGTCAGACTGGATGTCAAGGGGCATGCCATGCTATCTCCTCGCCCTGAGGTGTGCCGGGCGCACGATGCGAGCTACGTATCCAGTGAATCAAGGGATATTCACTCAGAGGAGGGCAGGTGGGCTAAATTTTTCATTGTGTTTTTACCTGGTACTATCGGTCTACGGGACGGCACAACCACGTCAGGTGGAAACACTGGGGGTGGATACACCTCGGGTGGAAAGACAGGAGGCAGGAGACCTGGAACGCCGGGGATGTCCGGCCTGGCAGGCAGCATGCTCGCAAGGGTGCACAATTTCCGGAACTCCTCTGAAAGAAAATAACAACGTGATCCTATGAAAACTGATGTGTCATTGTATACGGCTAACTTCATGGTGCGCTTGGGACTTACAATGGCAGTTCTGAAATATAGCTGCTGTCAAGCAGCGTTACCCATACACTCTGTTAAGTAGCTTAAGTGAAACCATCTGTTAAGGTTGTGCCTAACCAGGCTGGCCTGCATCATATGGCACAGGGGGGTCAGGTGGCAGGGAGCCCCTCTTTGGTGGCTTCCCTCAAACATGCCTCTACGTTCCCCATGCCCTGAAAGGGCAATCGGGAGGCAACCTTGCGCCTCACTTCTGGGAAGAAATGGGAAGGGTGGATTTGCAAATGTAAGCTGGCTGGACGGCCAGTCCTAAGGCACTCCGTGTTGTCCCTTGGCTGCCTCCACAGCCATTCACGCCTCGCAGCCATGCCTTCTAACCCCACCTCACAGGTGTCACCAGAGAAAGACAATCTTTGGAGTTCAGCTTTGAACCCCTTTGGCCTGGAGCAACAGAAACCCATGGCCCCTGAAGTGGGAAACAGGATAAGGGCATGGGTGGCGTGCTGAAACCAGTGGGTCATCTTGTAGTGAAGTGGGAGGGGGAGAAAGAACGGTCACTAAGTCACCCTGGAGCATCTTTGCAAGGACTGGCGTTTATGCTGGCCAGGACCTCTGAGCGCTGGGACCCACAGGTGAGAGAAAGGATGCTCCTCTGTGTTTTCTCCAGATCACGCTTAAAACTAAGGGGTCTTTAAGGGTTTGAATTGGAGAGGCTTCCTTAAGCCCTGGAAAGGAGCCAGACTGGAGGTCGACATGGTATCGGCTGCAGCTGCGGGCAAGGCTCAGCAATCCTGGCTAGACTAGCAAAAAAGAGAATTAAGAGTGCCGTCAATGGACGGCTCCCATGCCAGCCAGATGTTGCAGTGTGGAGTTGCTGCTCTCTCAACCTTAATCGGTCATCAACCGTCACCGTCTTACAACACTTGAGCTCTCTTAGATGGAACCCCTAAGAACCAGCTGCCACCTATAAAAGCCCCTGAAGAATGTCTGTGCCACCTAACGGAGATTTTCTTAATCCACAAGCCATCAAAATCCAACCAGCCCCATTAGCGTTAGTTAGAGATTTAAGCAGGGTTGATATTACTGGTAATTAGAAGAGTCGCCTACTTAACGGTATAATGAACTGTTCCATACCGGTAGCGCGGATGGGGCACATTTCAGGGGCGCTCGTGGCACCAGGGGACCAGCACCGTCCAGAATCGCAACAGCACTGCATTTTGGTCAACACCTGCTGGAGCTGGTTTCCGCAGCGGCCGTTAGTGAGGGAGGAAAAGCAGTATCCTGGACGCACATCTGCGGAAGGGGAAGAAAACGGCTTATTTTCCATTCTTGAGAAGACTCCTCCGGGTAACAAGGTATACCCCCACACACACACCATGTAGAGTTTTCTGAATGGCTGAAATTTCCAATTTTTTGCTACACGACATGTATGACGAGTGTATGGACTATTTTATTCCTCTGCCTTTCTTCTCCGACAGGTCTGACTCCGAGAGCTGTCACCGCTAACTTGTCTTGACATGGAGCCTTCTGTGCCCATGGGCCTAGCCCCATCAGTGGGGCAAACCGCCCTCGTCCAGGAATGCCCTGGTCCCAGAAGCCAGTCATCTAACCTCAGCACGAGGTCCACCAGAAGCTCCTGAAGAGGCAACGAAGGGTAGACCTGGGAGCCTTCCCTTCCAGCATTCCTACCTGCTGGGAAAGGGAGCGGTGTCCTGGACAGAGCCTTGCCCGGTCCCCTCCACCCATCTTGCAGGCAAGGTGCTCAACAGGGAGCTCTCCTTGGTGCTGCATCTTCCAGCCACCTTGCTGGGGGTGGGGGTGGGGGTGTGTGCTGCTGGTGCTGCTGCCCTGCAGGGCTATCTGGACCAGGTGAACTCGGGCACCATAGGATGCTTGGTTTTGTTAGCTCAACATTTATTTTTACAGCTGGAGGCACAAAGGTGTGCTGATGGGAAATCAGAGTAATATTTGGAATGGCAAGATTGGCGGTGTGCAGGAACTGGAGCAGGAGAGCTCACGCCGTCCACATCACGCACGTGGAGAACAAGAGCGCCCTAAAGAATAGGGCTGGAGCAGAGCAAGCACACTGAAGGACAGGGTGTAAATCCACAGAGGCCTGTAACTCATAAGTAAGTGATTTTGCAATGACTATCCATAATGTTATGATCCACATCTTTTGGACCCAGGGATAGGTAGGAGCATCATTATCTTCCTATTCAGACATTTCAGCATGTTGCTGGCTTAAATGTGTCAGCGTACATGTATCAATATATCTTTCAAGCACAGACAGACAGACAGATACAGTAGATAGATACAGTAGATAGACAGACAGACAGACAGACAGA